GTATCACTAAGCATAAGCCATGCAGAATCCACACTGGCACTGGTGGTGTTGGCTGCCAGCACATCCCAAGGATGCAGTGGTATGGTTTGCTGGAAAAGTTACACCTCAATGGAAATTCTACCCAAATGTCTCTGTCAGGAAGGCAGCCTCTTCTTGGAATTCAGAGTCACCTTCATAGTCCTGGAAGGGGAAAGGTTTTATTGGGATGGATTTGTGTCAGCCTGCTGAGAATGCAGCTCCTCATACCCTGCTGAACCATGCCTGATCTGCCTCCAAATACCAGTGAAAGCAACTCCAAATGCCACCATACCCAGAGGTCTCAAGCACTCCTCAATGCTTAAATCAAAATTTTCCTTGGATTTTCCCAAAGGCTTGATCCAGGTGAGGAAAGAGTAAAAGTCCTATGCAGCAATTTGCCAAATATTCACTGCATCAGCAATAAAGGAACCAAAGCTTATTTTTTCTTCTCATTTTCCTTAGGTTCTGGTCCTCCTCAGAGTTACCTGTAGCAAAACCAGACACCCAACAACTCAAAGAAAAGCAGCTGCCAGATGATCGTGTTCTTTATGGGCTTAAACAGAAATATTGTGGAAGAGAAACGCCACTTTTCAAATTGATTATTTCTGTTACAAAGCAGGAAAGGAAGAAAACCACTGTTTAAATAAAGGTTTATTACTTCACCTGTAATACACCTGTAATTACTTCACCTTCTTACAAATACTTGTAATTTTCCAGAAGGTATTAAATATTTTTATATGTGAGAAAATTACCTAGGAAAAAGAACTTTTACTAATATTTCCTCTGTAAGGACAGGGAGAGGAAAAGGGGAAAAGGTGAGCTCAAATTGATCTCTCTGCACTATCAAATTGCAGTATTCCTAAATATGCTTAACTTTCCCTAAAACCACCTAAAAAAGCAAAAAGATAGTTGGATAAAACTAATATTTTTTCATTCCTTACAGTTATTATTTCACCAAATCCAGGTTCTAAGCAGAAAAACTCATTTACCCCATCCATCCTAATTGTTTTAGCCTTCAGCATAGAGAGGACTGAACACCAGCTGATTTAAAGAGAATATTGTGAGTGGATGTTTTGAGATCCACTCTAAGCACTACACCAGTGTTTTCTTTGTGAAACTTCCACACAGAATTTCAACTTCATGGCTCTGATCTTTTCCTTGCCATCTCCAAATATTCTGGCTTTTTCTCAGTTCTTCTTTTACACTTGCACTATGGCTGTTTTTTATTTGTGTTAGATCTCTGAAACTCTTCCTTCTGTGGATTTCAGAGGAAAAATCACTGGGCAAAGGAGAGCAGGAGAGGCAGGGAAGGGAATTTGCTGCCTGTGGATCAGGGAAGCCAATAGGAGGCTCTCTGCTCTAGGTTTTTGACTAAATCACACTCAACGTCATGGTTTTAGATCAATTCCAGCCAAACTTTTCCAGTTCCTTTGTTTCCTTCCGCAGCCTGCAAGAAAACTTTCCAAGCAGGCATTAAAAATCTGTCTTGTTTATATTTTAATGGAGGAGGAAATTTTCCAATATCTCAGCTTTTTCCCAACCCCACTGGGACCAGAATTTGGCAGCATTATAATATGGGGGAAAGGAATAGTGGTGAGTGTTTTGCATCAGGTGTCAGCAGTGCTGCTCCCAGTGAACAATGGGGACATTTGACATGCACAGCACTGGCCCAAAGAGCTCCTTAGGAAACAGTGTGAGAAGCCAGAATTAAATCTTCATTTCTCCATATTTTCCATCCATTGTTTTAAATTATTATTTAGAGCCAGTGCTTAATTGAAAGAACAAAATATGGGCAATGCCAAATTGGAAAGGGGAAAAGCAGCTCAGGGATTTGAAAGGAATCAGTGAGGCTCTGGGGCACAAGGAGGTTAATTTCTTCATCCAAGTGATGGTGCAAAAAGAGAGGGAGCATTGCTGCACCTGGTGCTTCCCAGCATAGATAAAATGAATGTTGGGGGCTTTGTTTTAATTTATTGATGTTTATTTGTTTACATTTTTGTTTTTAAATGGTAAAAAAGTCAACATTGGCAGCAGCTTGGGCTGCAGTGATCATGGCCTGGTGGTTTTCACAAGCCTGAGGTGTAGCCATATTTTCTGAAAAATCCTTTTGCCAGGATTTTTCCTCCTGAGAAGCTGAGAGGCCTCAGGAACAAAATGTAACCAATGGTTATCTGCTGCTGTGGAATGCAACAGGTGCATCTGGGATTGGTCTCATGTGGTTGTTTCTAATTAATGGCCAATCACAGTCAGCTGGCTCGGACTGTCTGGTCAGTCACAAGATTTTATTATCATTCTTTTCCTTCCTTTCAAGCCTTCTGATGAAATCCTTTCTTCTATTCTTTTAGTATAGTTTTAATATAATATATACCATAAAATAATAAATCAAGCCTTCTGAAACATGGAGTCAGATCCTCGTCTCTTCCCTCATCCTGTGCCCCCTGTGAACACCACCCCACCTGAGGTATACAGGCCAGGCAAAGAGGCAGAACTCTGAATTTTAGAAGACCAAACTTTCAGTTTATTAAGGAATCAGTGGACACAACCCCCTGGACAACTTCCTTCAGGGATAAAGGAGCTGTGCAGAGCTGGCCACTCTTTAGGAACCTATTTACTCAAACAAAGAACACTCAATTCTTCTTTTGGAGCAGCTGTCAGAACTGTGCAAATTGAACACCTGGGCAGGCTGGTGTGACAGTAGTTTCAGATTGAATCACCACATTGCTGCAATAAATTGGACTGGGAATGCTGAATGCTCTTTTGGTTGTCTTTGCTGGAAAGGATGAAACTAAAGTGTGTTTGCCCTTTGTAAAGATGAAAAAAAGAGACCCTTAGGAGATCTTTTCTCTTGCAGTTGGTGGAAACTGCAGTTCACTGGGTTTTGGATAAGGTCCTGTGTCATGTTTTCAGTGATTTCTGAACATTATATTGATACTGGAACTGTTCAGAAGCTGCCACATCCACCAAGGGCACATCTTTAATACCTGTGACCAAATCACACAGGAAAGCATATCAGTACAGAAGTCAGCAACAAGTTACAAGGCTGCTTTTATTAAGATACCAAAATTCCTATAAACAGACTCAGTCACAAATAGCAGTTTCTGCTGAGCATGCAAGGCATCAGATACAAGCTACTGGTTGACATTTCAGCCTGAGGAGTAGTGCTCAGCTTTTGAAAATGGCATAGCTCCACCAAAATCAACAGGCAGATCTCTAACCCTGTCACCTCCAAGAAGTTCAGGATTGTAAGTACTAAAAACTAGAGAAATATTTATAGTAAAATAGCTGAGCCTGTCACTGAGCACACAAGGCAAACACATTTCACATTTGACAGCAAACTGAGCAAAGGTTAAGAGACTCCTACATAACAAGAACTAATGGTTATGTTGTTGTCCAAAGAAGTTGTGGACTCCCCATCCCTGGAAGTGTCCAAGGGCAGGCTGAGCACCCTAGGATGGTGGAAGGACCATCTTGGATCTAGATGGTCTTTAAGTTCCCTTCCAACCCAAACCATTCTATGGTTCCATGTTCGTCAGACTGAGACTGCAAAGATAATTTATAGTTTCACCACTTACAACTAAATGGATTTTTTTTTTAAAATCAGGATCTCATAACTCTTATTTCCAAAAGGAAAAGACAAGTCAAAGTGTCTTAGTCCTTATAGAGTCACTTGAATGTAAAGCAGAATGCAAATGATTACTCTGAAATTTATTGATATAAATAATCTCTAAAATCAATCAGTTCAACCTTTTGCAAAATGTGGAAGTCTTTTACCCAGTAATCTTACTACCTAATGGGAGTTGGACTAGGAGGATAGAAAAGCCACTTTCCTATGCTATTCTGTACCCAAAAATCAGCACCTCAGGGCTGTGACTACTTAGAAACATTCATGACTTCAAGCTAAGGACCATTTTCCACTAAGAGTTATTTATAATGGTGTCCATTGAGCTTAAGGAGGAATTTATTCATAAGTTACTAAGTTGGATGTGCCCCAGGCACAGCAGATTATCACTGTGTAGGAGGAGTGACTGCAGCAAACAGAACCCAGGGCTGGTGGGACAAGTTATTGCCACCTCTTCACCTCCCATCTTCCAACACACTCATTGAGGAGGAGATTTGGGGCAGCAGAGAAGAGCAGCCCAGGAAAGAGCCCTGCATAAAGAGATCTTTGCTCCAGTTTATCCAGCTGGCCAGTCTGTTGTTGCACCCAATTGACTGTGTACAGTGAGCCTGTGCTGCTGCACTGATGGTCGTGCAGCCAGGCAAAATTCAGGTCAAATTTCTCTCTTCATTTGCAATTGGAGAGCTCTCACTTAGGTGGGCAGCAGTGTGTGGCTTGACTGCACAATCATTAGGGTCTAATTGAGCTGAATACACAGGGATCAATTGATTTATCTGGCAAAACATGGGCTGCCAGCAACAAAAATAATTTCTTTTTTGTTTTTTCTTTCTTTTCCACTGAGACCTTGTCAATTACAGAATGAATCAAATTTAAAAACTCATGCTGAAGAACACCCTGAGCAGATTAAACCCCAGATCCACCATGGCTTTTCCTTACTTGGTGGCAAGTCCAGTGCTGGTTCCCCAGCTTCTGTATACTTAAGGCGTTGCACAATTGGCTCTTCAAAGCTGTTGCAGCTCAAAGTTTCAACCTCACCCTGAGTAAACAGCAAATTACAAACTGAAAAAGAGATCTCTCTGAGGCTTTGCTGATTTACTTCCTTGAATATCAATGGAAACATGCAGCTTGTCAATATTAATGGCACAAGTGATGCTGAGCACATAGTGATATGTCACAGTGAGAAAATCAGATCTTGAAACTCAAAAGAGAGACCCAGATGTCTTTGTTTTCTTCCCTTCTATTTTATCAGTGGAAAAACTGCCAAAATTCCCTTCAACCTGGAGCTGCTGTCACAAAGAGTTCTTAGGATACCAGGGAAGAACCAGATTGCTAAGGAAAAAAAGAGGCTCAGGGGAGAAAGGGGGTATAGAAGCTTTTTATATATTACAATAATTTGAAAGAGTCAGTGATGTGTCGAGCAAGGAAAGCCAAATGTTGAGTGAAGACAAACTTCAGTTCTCCATGTGATGAGACATGATTCCACTAGGAAAAAAAAAAATATAAACCAAATTAATCAGGATTGAGACAGGTAATCAACTCCCTTCCAAAGACAGTAAATACATGGGAAAGAAGAGCTGAGTATTGCCACTCCAAAATGGAGCCATCAACTGAGGCTCCATCATGAGGTAGAAGTGTTATGAGCCTGACAATATCCTTTATGCTACAGCATCTTTGCACAGCTCCAGAATTCCCATTGCTGAGGTATTACTCAGAGAGAGAGCAGAATGATGAATGCAAGAGAAGCCATCCCTGCTCTGTGGAGAGACTCAGAGATTCCACGTGTAGGTTTGAATTCAGTGAACCCCAATATGCCCCTTTTGCTGGGTTATGGCTCCATGGTGGGATTTCTGATGGAACTGCAGCTGCTGGAGTTGTACCAAGGAGTCCTGGGTACCTTCCCTTGGGGTTCCTGGCACATCCAGCCCTTGGGAAGCCACCAGAGCATCACCCTCACCTGCAGCCATCTCCCAGGAGCTGCCCAGAGATGGGTAAGAGGGATCAAAGAGATGGAAATGCAGCAAATGTGACCACTCAGGACTTACAAGCAGGAAGCTGGGATAGTGCTCCCTGCCATTTATATGGGTGTATATTAAATGATATAATTCTGTGCTCATTGAATTGAAATGGATTATCTGCAAATGCCACAGGGATGTGTCCAGTGCCTTTCCTGAGGCCATGGCATTGTCCTGTGGGAGGGCTGCACCAGGGAAGGGTCACTGACTAACTCTGGCAATAATGACAAATAAACCCTTTTCCAGGAACAGAATTCCATCCACAGCAAACATCCTTGAGCTGTGAAGTGCTGTTAGGTGTTGTTCCTCAGCCTCCCAGATTTCTCACTTCTCTCTCCTCCCCTTAAAGAGACGAGCATGCAAATGATGCTGAGCTGCTAGAACAGACTGATTTTACAGAAACAGGGCTGAATCCTGTGATATCCTGGAAAAGTGTTAAATTCCCAAGACCATGTGGCAGTGGTTAAGTCTCCTCAGAGCTGTGTTTTCAGATTCTCTGCAAGCATATGTAAGCACTGCTTATGCATCTCAACATTTCAAGCTCTTTGTGTTTAACATCCTGCTACTTTCTCAAAAAAAAAAATCTCAAAAAATAATAATTAAACTCAAGCTTTTGTAGAAAGGGTTCTGAGAACTCTTCTTGAACTTCTGAGAAAAATTTATAAAGAGAGTGGTAAAGTTTCTCTCCTTTATTACACTGATTTAAACCCAAAAATTACATGGCTTTTTTGTGGAAGGGCTTATTGGTGTTTTCTAAGGTGATGGGTCATTTACTCTGACTGAGATCAAAGCCATGAAGGAAGATGAAGGACAAAATGCTGTTTTCCTCCTCTTGTAGTTTGCATCATTTGAAAACAGGGAAGAACAGCAGGAATATCTTTCTTACTTGTATGGCCTCTACCCACAGCAAAAAAGACAGCAGCTTCAAATATTCTCATATAAAAGGTGGTCATATACAAGTATTGCACCATTTCAGAAAGAGATAAACAGCCAAAAAATGCAATTGATCATAATTGAGTACTTACATGTGGTGACCTGTGAGTCACTAATCATAGAACACTTGGTAGCTGAAGTTGTCAGACTTGATCCTGAGGTTGCATCTTCCTGTCTTTCGCTGGTACTGGAAAATGAGAAGGGTCACAACTCCCAGCACAAAACCAAACACAGCAAGGGCTATGAGGATGATGTATCCAATTCCTATTCCAGACTCCTTCTCTCTCTTGGAATCAGATGCTAAAAAAAAATTAAAATTAAAAAAAAAAAATCAGAAGTGAAAGAAAAAAAAATCAGAAATTCCTAAATCTTTTAGTGAGGAGAGAAACAAGCCCTGCATGTTAATTAGCCAATGTGCCAGTACAGAACTGAGCTACAGAAGTGTATCAGCCTTCTGGGGAGGGTGATTCTCATGGAAAGGGTGTGAGGACAGACCATGTTCTCTTTTCACATACCAGTGTAGAGTCCCTGCAGACAAGAGTGTGATTTTCAGCTAAAGTAAGAATTAAAGAATTACTACTGGTGACTTTTTAAAATGCTGCCTTACTTTCAGAAGTACTTTAGAGATGGAGTATTCCCCTATCTTACCCCTGCCTCCATTCATCTATGATTATAAAAATGAGTTGATTTGCTTTCCTCATGTATGTAACTGTTCTTCAAACACAGTATTTGGGGAAGGAGTCTCTGCTGGGTCTCTAAGCTCCCAGCTGAGCCTGCAGAGATGTGGCTCAGTGGAGGGACACTGGCTTGGTGTCAGTGCTGCACCTGAGCAGTCATTTAGAGCCAGCTGAGCAGCCTGAGGTTGGCTGCAATGTCTGCACATGTCTGGCAGACAGGGCACAGGACCTGCAGGAGCCCTGTGCTCTGCTGGAAGGGCAAACTCAGAGGGGAAGCAAAGAACGACCCAAATGCTCCAGTGTGGGCAAAACTCAGGTCCCACATTGCCAAGTGCCTCCCAAGGCACCACAGGTCACAGGCAGAAAGTGCTCTCCTGGTTCCCTTTGAACCACTTCCATATATTTGTCCAAATCTGCAAGCAGAAACCCCTCTCCCTTTATTATTATGCCTCTCTTCATGCTTATACAAGTTCTTATAATTCCTTCCTGCATTTGCTTACATTTACAAAACATTTGTTTGCTTACACTTTCAGGACAGCACTTGTTTTGCCAGGCACTTGTGTGGTACCTGAGGTACACAGAAGATAAATATCACTGCAATTAGAGACAAGATTTTTGGCCAAAGGGCACTGCTGGCAGCCACAAAGGTCAGTAAGAGCAGTTCAAGCTACAGACACCCAGGGCATCATTCCAAGACTGGCCAAAGCAGTGCTGTGTAATATATTCAGTCTCATTTTTGAATTTCAGCATGAAACAGAGGAATAAAGTAGAACATGTACAGGGGAAATGGCAGCCTGTGGCCAGACACAGAGCAGGCCCTCCTGGGGACATGGAGCAGTGGCCTTTGCCATGGCATGTGACCAAGTGCTGGCAGAGCAGGTAAAGGTTTTCATGTTGCATTTACACTTGTTATTACTGACATCATTATCCATGTTATCCCCTTCAACACAGAGATGTAGATCACTTAAAATGTGGGGTGGTTATCCAAACTAGAAATAAGAGACAGCATCCAAAAGTGCCACCTTTACCTAGAAATCAACTTCTCCATTTAGCACAACCCAGAGAAAGCTCCCCTCACCAGAGGCCCTTCAGGGAAATGACCATTTTTCAAAATTAGAAATGAATCAGGATCTCCAGCAAAAATGGGAGTGAGACCTACTTGTTGTAAGAGCTAGACAAAGAAATTTGCATTCGTTGCTTTATTTTATTTTATTTTATTTTAAGAACTAATTCAGAAATGAGCACTGAGGGCCTATTTGAACAGACCGTGTAATGGAAGAAAAATATATTCTTAAGCCAGAGTCAGTGCCTAGGTCCAAAAGAACATTATGAACTTTCTGTTTATGGCAGCCACAAGTTAAGACTCTGATATTGGTGAGCCAAACCACTCTCAATGAGTATTTTATGTTAAGAAGTTATAAATGTAAAGCTGGAGGGGGCCAAATGACTGAAAACATGGGACACCACAGGTGCCCTTGAAAGCATCACTCAGGTTAAATGCAGAAAAAGCAGGTGCATAACAAATTAGACCTTGCTTGTCCCTAGTGCTGGTGTTGCCCTCAATTAACCTGCACTGCACCAAATTCACCAAGGGTTCTGTGCATCAGCTGTGCTCTGCCACTTCCCCTCAACGTGGTAATGAAGCCAGCACCAGGGAGCCAAAGGAAACACGACAATAAAATCTCTTACATCCTCTGATTTGGGACTTCAGAGCCCAGAATAATTGCAGACTAACAGCAGTGTAAACACTTGGAAAACTGATTGCAATCTGCAGGATCGAGTCTGCTTTCACACCTTACAATTGAAATGATTGTTTGATTTTGTGGTTGTTTTACTTGCTACCCTGTGCAAACAGCCACACAAAAGCACTTTATCTTCCTTTCTACATTCCCTTGACAACGTGACAGTCCCTGCTCCGAGGAGGGCACCTGCTTCTCCAGGCTGCCACGTGGCTCCAGCAGGAATGCCTGCTCCCAGGGAACACAGAGGGGCACAAACCCCCTGTGTGTCACAGGCCAGCACAAAACAATCCTGGCATGAAAGTCTGTTCTCAACTCACCAGCTGATTTACACAGGGGTCCCCAGGATGTTCTGTGCAGGGAGATGGTTTCTCCAGCCTTCAGGAGCCGAGCCCTTGCGTGGCACCTCTGCAACATCAATTCAAACTCCAACAAGTCATGTGGCTTATTAATGCAAAACACAAAACCTTCTGATGGGCTTGTGAAAGCCCAGTGCTACTCTCACCAACCAGCTTTTGTTTCTTAATGTTATGCTCTGTTAAACTGAAATTAGCACCAAAAGAAATGGCATCAGGGAAAAATCAGTATAAAATCTGTAATTAGTCACACTGGAACACACTGCTGTGAACAGACACTTCACACAGACAACCTTTTCATTAGCTGGCTGTTTGTTTTAGAGAAACCTTTTGGGAGAGTAAATTTATCACTAATGCCAGGGGTTTGCAGGCACTTTTGTTTGGATGTTTGTGCTGCCCATGGCAGGCACAGCAGATCCTGCAGCCAGCACCAGCAGAAGCAGCAGCAGCTTTCAGACCCTGCTGAGCCAGGTGTCATTCTGAAGCTACCCACAGCTTCAGTGACAAGAGAACCACTAATCTGGGTAAACTACAGGGCTCAAATCCCTGTCCTGGCAGCACATTCACAGGCATTTTCTGTGCACTTCCTTTTTTTTTGTTTGTTGCCTTTTCATTTTAAGTCATAGCCCAAAGGTCCCTGGTGGGAACCAAAACCTCCTGGCATTATTCAAAGGGTACTGTGGCTCTCCTGGAAGGGCACAAAAAACCCCAGAGAAGTGGCAGCATCACACCATGACTAACAAAACCAGCAGGCTGTCTTACCAGCTTGTTTACACCAGAATGTCCCATCAGAGTTACCAGTTTGGCTGCCCTGGAAAACCTCTACAATCCCCTGCCAGCAACAGCATCTTCAGCTGGGTCAGCCCCCAGAAAAATACCCATGTGGTTATTTATGACTTTGGTCTGCTCCCAAGGAGCTTTCCCAGGTAGGTGGATGCATTAGAGAACACATTTATGTAGTTGCTCCCTGGTGGCAATGAATTTTTGGTTCCACATGGCCATGGAGCAGCCACATTCCAGCAAACATCTGCATAGTGGTGGCACATCACTCCTCTTCCCATTCAAAGTAATTTTTCTCACTCATTTCTCACTGCTTTCCTCCTCAGCCAGTCCATTTTTTTCAGCTCCAAACTTTAGAGCACCTTACTCTCTTCCACAGAGAAAACAAGGAATAAATAGACTGAGTAAGAAGAAATAATCCAAGATGTAAGCATTGAGTGTGTGGGTGAAGAGCTGAGCTGAACCTGCCCTGAAGAAAGTCCCTGTTCTCCAGAGTAACAGATCAGAGGGGTCATATCCCAGGCCCAGGGCACTTTCCCAGCCATCTTACATTATTTACAAATATCCTCTGTTCTTGCTCCTCTTCCTTGATCTTTGCACCTTCTGCAGCTCCTCGCTCCCTTTGTAAAAGCCATTGCTCGCCCTGTGTAGATGTGCCTGGTGCTTCTCTTCCCCACATCACAATTTAGCCTCAGTTGACTAAATTGAGGTTAAATTGTGGTGTGGGGAAGACAAGAACTTCTGAATAGGGGTAAATTTTGCATAAGAGAAAGAACAATGCATCCTATATATATATTTATATTCATACTCAGCTGCAAAAACTGGAGCCATCTTACCATTGTCAGTCATGTTTCCTGTCCCTACTTTTTTTTTTGTTTTATTTTTTTTTAATCTGGAGGAAGCCTTATACTTTGAGAAAGGAAACAAGCATCTTCTGGTAGCCTTTTAAAATCCTTTAGGAAGAGATCCTTTGCTTTATAATGAGTTTAAACTGTTTTATTTAGAGCTAGAGGAAAGTGTTAAACAATGAGGGAATATCAAACTGCTAATGAAAACATCCTTGATAGGAAAAGAGCCAGGAACGTTGGCAGAGGAAGAGGAGAATTCCCAAGTGTCAGTTAGTAATAAAAAAAAGCCATCAGTTAAACATATTTTTCCTTCTTTCTATGGTAGCAACACATTTTCAGATAAAGCTGTGTATCACTTACTTGCAAGTAAAAAGAAACAATGCAATGCTTTGTAACACAGACAATTAAAAACTGCAGTTCTTGTCAGAACATGGCTTGGATTATTGCTTTAAAAAGCAATCAGGCTGTAAAAAGCCATAATAATCTCTATTAAAAGTCACAGCCCTAGAAACTTAATGACACTGAGCTTCCTTTCCTGGCACCTAAACTCTCAGTTGAAGAAGCAAATCTGTTGGGGATAAGAAAAAAAAAGGACAGAAAAATATATAAATTTACTCAGACATTCTTCTGACACTGCTACTCTGGGAGTTCCTATTTTGTGACACATCCATCTGAGCTGACACTTTTCTACCCAGCCTAATTTCATTGCTTTTTAGTCATCCTTAAAATGAGTGAAAGGTCCAGTTCTCAGGTTCCCCAGCTCTGTGTGAGCTCCATGCTTTTTTCTAGGAGATGAGCCACAGGAGGAAAAACTGAAACCTCCACATGGTTGTGGTGTTTCCCCATTCCTCTCTGCTCTCAGCAGAGAACAAAGGAAAACTCTAGAGTTATTTTAATCCTTGTTTGGAAACATTACTCCTTCTATCCCATTGCAGGACTCCATATGGCACTGAGAAAAAATATTTTTAAGGGGGGAAATAGAGCAAAACACTTACAGTCCTGCAGGTGCTTCCTGGTGACTCCATACAAATACGAATTCTGCAGTGTAAGTAAACCACAGAGTGGTTGACAAAGGGAAAAATTTTCATCTTAAACTGAGCTTTGCTTGAATTCCCATTTTCCAGCAGCATGGTGGAAGTATTTGGGATGGGACAGCTGAAAAGGGAGACAAAAACCACACAGAGCAGCTAAGGCTAGAGAAGGCAGGTTTTGGTTCTAGCACAGAGCTTGGGTTTTAAGGCTTGCCTTCCTTTAGGAAGTCACAGCCAGACCCTTCATGAAGCAGCTCTGGCAGTGCAGTGGTGATAAGGGGTTTTTTGCTGCTTTAGTCTCACAGTAACCAAGTGGAACAGGAGCTGTGAGATGTGGTTGGAGAGCTGGAGAAGGAGGGAAAGAGTAACAGAAAGAAGGATTTAAACTTGGCTTCACCAAACACAAATTGAAAAAACCCTCAAACTTAAAGGACTAGATGAGCAAAGTGATTATTCTGTATTTTAAGGTGAGCCTAAGAAATATGAAACTGGGGTGAGGTCAGGGATCCAGACAGAAACAAATTTCCTCTTTCCCCAGAGGCTGCTCTAATATCATGTGTGAGGAATTAAATATCCTATTTCTTTGTTGACAAGAGACACATAAGCTCTTGATAAAGCTGCAACCACAAGCTCTGAACCATAGAGCAGGAGATAAAGCACCCATTTCTCAAATGCCCTTTCACTACTGACTGCCAAAATCACCTTCAAGTGATTTCTTCAGGTTAAAAGCACAATTCCCTCACAAAACTGGAAGGAAGATGACCAAACCCAAAAAACTTTCACATAGCCCTTTGAAATTCTTTTTCATATCTACCTTTCTTGTTCAAAGAAGGTGTAAGCAGGCCAGATAGAAAGGGGCTGGGCATGTGAATGATGAGAACACATGCAAAAGTCATTTAAAATACAACACATGATTAGTCAGTACCACTGTAAGACCTAAGGCATGGCTCAAAGTATTTGCAAATGGCATTGCTGTACCTGTTGCTGATAAAAACAAATGCCAGGGAATCCATGGAATTGTTGGTTGGAGTGGCCCAGCAGTCAGTGAGAACCACCTTGAGCTGGCTGTCTGCCCTCTGCATCCCCACCTCGACCAGCACATCCTCACTGGCAGAGACACTGAAATTTCTGGGGACTGGGGAGTTCCCAATGAACAACTGCATTTCTGTTCTGAAGTATCCAGATCCATGCAAATCCTCCAAGATGGTGTAAAGTCTGAAAAATCAATTATCCTTTTTTAAAGACCACAAAGTTGACTGTAAGTTTCTGCAAGTCTTAAATCAGTGCCTGTTTTCCCACATATTTAAAATATGCAGACCAGGATGGCAGGACACTGTTCAAAAGGAAAGGTGAAAAAGCATTGAATTTTCAGCTGGGAAGGTAGAGAGAATGGAAACACAAGTGGGAAAATCCAAAGGGTGGTCTCAGCAATTCAAGCAGGACAGAGAGAAAGACCAGATTGGAGCAGAAGGGGAACAAGGCTATGAGCTCTCTGAAAGCTCAAAATAAGGACAGTAAAAGCTTAGTGCAGAAGAGAAGGGCAAAAAAAAAAAAATGAGATGGGGAAAATCTGAACAGAAAGTGAAAGGCATGAGAAAATTATAGAGTTCAAAGAAAAGTGGCCTGACAAAGACTTTGCTGGGGAATAGGAAGGAAAATACAATCTCTGGACAGGGCTAGGAAACAGGAACTGGATTTGGTGCCAATAGTTTAAGCAGGATGAAAGGCAGGAGAGGAGGTGCACTTGTATGAAGGGAGGACACTCCCCATGACAGAAAGGCTTGGGCTGTCACATTTTCTGTCAGCACAGCCTTGATTTTCTGTGAAGTGTGGCTCTGATTCCATCTTACTTGAAGGTGGGGCATTTCCCAACAACAAAAAGTATTTGCATGATGTATCTTCTGGTTTTTCAAGTTGACCAAATAAGGATTTGTGAGGGGTTAAAAACTGCCATTCTCAGAAGCCACACAGCAATCTACAGGCCCACATCAGGTGGAAAGAAACACAACTGATGTGCTCCAAAAGCAGAAAAATGCTGTTATTGCTACAAGGGATTGCTCGGGAAGGCAATGAGGAGACAGGAATTCTGACTCCTGAACCAGCAGTTCCCAAAGGTTTATTTCCACCTGTGGTTTAGCCAGGTAAAGGCCAAGCTTGTTGGATCTACTGGCACATTAGCAGGAGTAGGAAAGGAGCACACAGCAGGGATCTCCTTGATGCCTTGGATTGGCTACCTAGAGCACAGGCTAGACTGAGTTGGAGAATAAAGTGGATATTTATTAAAGGCCTTTAACAAACACATCTTGGGCCATGCAGGAGCCTGGCAGAGGCTACAGCCAAGATGGATGAGGGTCATGAGTTTTTCAGGCAGATACAAGTTTGGTCTATTTGCATATCAGAGGTTAATTGTCCAAGTAATTAAGTCACATTTCCTCAGTTTGCTTCCTCCCAATTGACTTTTGTTTATACTTTTCAGACGTGAGGCTGTGATGATGACTTTGTTTTTCAGGCCTGGAAGGATTGTTTTGTCTGACCACACTGTGAAGAGAGCTTACAAACACTCTACATGGAGTTCAGAGTAATACACTAATGCAGTACAGGATCTGAAAAATATAACAGCTAAAACTTAAGGCATCATTCTGAGCACAGGACTCCCAGGAAGGCAGACTGCTCCAGTGCTACAGCCCCTGGGGGTTTCCCAATGCAGCAGCACTCAGCCACACAGCAGAATTTCAAAGCAGAATTTCCTCACCCTTCTGCAGTGAAGCCAGAGGAAGTCAAGACATCATTTTGAAACACACAGTGGATGGGACTGGCAATGTTCAAGTGGTGGATTATTCCCTGAGCAGAAACATCATTCTGAAGGGTGGTTCTCACCACAGTGGTAGTCATGTTCTGCACACAGAAAGGAGAAAACACATCAATATTTCCAGGGTTGTACCAGAGCTTTCCAGTTTCAGGTGTTTGGCTGTTCCTCATTCTCCTGACAGCAAAAATCAAACAGATTAAACCTCCAGTATCTTTGTTGTTGTACAGGAAGGCAAAGAAAATACACCAGTCTTCCTCCTTTTCCTTTTTGTCATAACATAGAATCACAGAACTCCACCAACAGCTTTGGCTGGAAGGGATCTTAAAAATCATTAAGTTCCAAACCCCCTGCCATGGGCAAGGACATCTTCCACTAGACCAGGTTTCCCAGAGCCCCATCTAACCTGGTCTTGAACACTTCCAGGGATGGGACAATGATCATTCCTTAGCAATGGTCATTGCTCCAGGAGGGAGTTTCTGTACTTTGGCATGGTCTGAACATAGCCATTGGTTTGGGATCCAAAGAGAGCTGTCACTCTTTGTCCCCACTGCTGGTAGCTATTTGTCAGCATGAGGTGATGAAATTACTTTTAAGTAAAGGCAGCTGCAAAGGGAACCCAGAAGAGGCATGGGAAGTGACTCTCAGTTTGGACAGGCTGCTGAGTTTTGCTGCCTGACCTCAAAGATTCCTCTTCTCTTTGGTGACAGAGTTAACTTTCCATCACAGGAAGGGGATTTCTTTCTCCAACAGAAGTTCAGCAGCTAATAGCCTGCACATCTGGCTAAGGATCTGCCACTGCCTCTCCCCTCCTGAAAGAGAAATAAAGTGCTCCAGAGCTTGCTGGCATTCCCTTATCAGAGGACTTACGGTCTCAACCTTGGTGCCGCAGTCGCTCCAGCCCGCCTGCAGCACAACGTGGGTGCTATTGCTGGTGCTCACATTGCAGCCAGGCTCCCCCAGGAACAGGGAACTCTCTGGGATAGACTCCTGCTGCAAGAACCTCCTCTGGATGGCAAGGATGATCCTCTCAACCTCACAAAACACACTCACAGCGTCTTTAATGGAAACCTCTTGGGCGGGTTTGACCAGGGGGGCTGGAGATGCTCGAGGAGAAACATCAGGAGTTGCCATGGGATCCATGGTGAGAGGACTCAGCACTGTGCTGGAGAACATGGGGTCCTCCAGAGCTTTGTGCTCAGCAGGAGAGAAGTCCAGTGAAGCAGGGGAGGAGACATGAGCTGAAGTTTGCAGAGATGTCACAGGTAAAACTGTGCTGTTCACAGGTTTAACTGTGCTGTTCACAGGTTTCTTATCTGTCACTGTTGCCTTCTGGCTGAAGGGAAGTGCTGAAGAGAGCCAAAAATAAAGGTACTGTTGTAATTTACATGTTGAGATTGGTCTCATTAGGCAAAAGCAAACTCTTAGGAGGAAACTCACAGTTACTGGCAGGAAACTAGTTTCTTTTGTTCTTTAAACCTGCTCTACTTACTGCCAAAGCTGGGGTTTTTTTTAGAAAGGAGCCCATGAGACACACAAAGTGCCTGTCCATCAGTAAAGCTGAAGTGCTTTATTTCCTGGCAGCTGCATTGATTAGTGTGAAACACATGTACATACAGCTTTTGGAAGATCAGTGCTTGCACAATATTCCCCACTGGAGGTTGTTCAGCAAGTGCTTGTATGTTTTTGCCTGGAGCTGTAGGAGACTGCCCAGTTCTGGCTGGGGGCATCACCAGGAGTTTGATAAAAAAGCACAGGCTCATTTGTGACCAGTTACTACCCAAAAGATGGGACCTTGAGTGCTTTGGAAAACTCATTTTGGGGGATGCATGGGATAAACCTCATGTGGCAGTCCCATATTGCAGGTGTGTCCTGAGAGAGAGGAATAAATAATTGTCAGTGGCAATCTGTAATGGTTCCAGGAAGAAAAAAGTGGGGGAAAAGGGAAGTACAGGTTCACATGAATGTGTGTCAAACACCCAACATCCAGCACAGGTCTGGGGTTACACCCTGAGTATTCACCCACCACTGACTGAGAGAGAATCAGGATAATAAACTCCATTTGCAGGGAAGCACAAACAATGTGTCTCATTGCACAAAACTTCTCTAAATAATGTTAGTGGCTAAAACATAAAAATACCACCTATTTCCCAAGCAACATATGAAATCTGTACACATATATAAATCCTTATGGAACTGCCCAGCTTCCAGAAATGCCCCAAATGAAAAGTCACTGATTTGCACAATAAAGAAAGGAAAATAAAAGTTGGAGCTCTTCCAGAGCTGGATTTCCCAAAAGCTTATCATCACATTAATATCTTAGTTAAAACTGAACAAAGGTTGGTATCAATTGACAAATCACTGTGACTTCAGTAAAAAATGTTCCTTGTCATTGTCGTTACAAAACCAAATATAAATTACTGAAGAAGCTTAAGAGAATTTAGGAAATTAAAGACCTATCATACAGCAGCTAACAGATGACCTGAGGAAAGAAAAGCTGGATGAATCAGCTCATAGAAAAATGTAGTTTGTAATATCAGCATTCTCTCCCTGCTGCCATACAGAGGTCAAGCCACCTATCAAGTATTTTCTGTTATTTTCTCTATTACCTCTTCTGTCCCCTCTGCTACTGCTAATGAAAATCACTAAGAATCTTGACAATCCTGTCTAATTTTTGTGACAAGTATGAGAAACAGAACTCTTAAAAGAACCTTACAGCATTAAATATTAATATAGTACATTCCCATTCCCAAAGTGATCCACTGCCCAAAGGGATGCTTCTAACCCCAGGAGCCTCCACAGTTTTTCCCCCATTTCACAATTGTGAGGAGATGCTCAGTAAATGCCCAGCATGAGTGAAGCAAAGGTTTGTGTCACTGATTCAGGATGTAATCTAGTTGCTGTCTTAATTTTTACCCAGCCAAAACTTTCATTTTTGAGAGAAAAACCATGCTTTTACTTCTCTTTCTCTTTCCAAAGTCTAAAAACTGGAGCAAACCAGAGCATAGGTGGGACTCAGAAAGCAGCAGCAGCAGCCACCTGCTCTATGAGGACCTGTCCCTAAACAAACTCTTTGTTTTAGCCCAGGTTTGAGGGGGCCAAGCACTCTACAAAGCACCACCACAAGAGAGTAGTGATCCTTCTAATTACCAGGATGTGTAACTTTCCAGATTTACAGCTGTGAGTGTAACAGGCAAAAAAAAATTATGGAGCAGAGCATAAATGTTTCTGAAGTAATTTTGTAATAAATGAGATTCTAATTGACAGCTTATCATAAAGAACAAATGGATCGTGTCAGGGATACAGTATTGTTGTGGGGTTTTTTTTTCAGAAGTGACTTGTGAAACAGAATTCAGCTGCTCATTGTCAGGAGATTAATGTTTTTTGTTACTTCCTTCAATTACATTTAAAAGAAAAGAAGTTGTACAATCAGCCATCATGCTGGGCTTGGCAAAGTGTGGGCTTTCACCTGAGCTCCAGACCCGCAGGTGTGTGAGGAAAACAACTATTCCCAGTGAAGAAGAACCCACATATTCATTAATTTCTTGGGATTTCTATTTCAGGGAAAAATTATTAGTGCAAAGCAGAGTGCAATATGTTTTTAAATGATTTTAAACAGTGCTAGTTATGGCTGTGTTCAGGGACTTATTTCCACTGGTAGCTTATAAACCCCTCAATCCATGACCTCTAACATCTCCTTGACTTTTTCTCTGTAAATCTGGTTCTAGACATTGTCACAAAGACCAGTTGGTTTTGTCCTTTTGGATCAGTGGTACCTCACTTCCTATGTCACCTGTGGGTGCTCTCTGAAAAACTTACTGGATGGATAAGCAGGAGCAATATAAGGAGAGAGAAAGGCTTTTCATCCATGTGTTTTACAGGTATTTTCACCTCAGAAGACACAGATTAATAATAGATTTTGCCATTTATCTGTCTCTGAAGAATTACTGGGGCACAAGCTGCTCCTCACCGTGTATGGAGAGGCTGCTCCTGTCCAGGGTGAAGTAGGAGCTGTGTTCCAAGGCCTCACAAAAAGTGGTGATGACATGGTGGACATCCACTTCTTCTGCAAGCAGCAAATTGAAACTTACCACTGTGCTCCCATTAGTAACACCAGTTACCAGCACTTTAATCAGACCAGCATCCATCTGCTGGAGCACCTCCAGGGGCAGAGATTTCTGCACCTGGAATAAAAACAAAATGTATGTGGGGATAGGCAGATGGAACAATTACATTCCAGGCTATGTACACTGCTCAGAAATGAGTGTTGTGCTTCCTGCTCTGGAGGGAAGCAGCAGAAAATTGACCTTTTTGCTTTGTAACATTTTCAATCCAGAGCAGCTGAAGGATGTGGTGCACATTTAACCATAAATATTAAATGAGCCAAGCGATTAAGACATCTCATCTGTCATTTGGCACAAGCCCTTGCCTCTGGTAACAGACAGGGAGGGAGGAGACTGCAGGGGAGCTCCCATGTTCTGACTCTCAAAATGCCTCTGGGGAGAGGGGCAGTCCAAGGAATTCCAATCCAACCCAAGGAATTCCAATCCAATCCAAGGAATCCAATCCAACCCAAGGAATTCCAATCCAATACTATCAATACAAGGAATTCTAATCTAATCCAAGGAATCCAATCCAGTACAAGGAATTCCAATCCAATCCAATCCAATCCAATCCAAGGAATTCCAATCCAATCCAAGGAATCCAATCCAGTACAAGGAATTTCAATCCAATCCAAGGAATTCCAATCCAATCCAATCCAATCCAATCCAATCCAATCCAATCCAATCCAAGGAATTCCAATCCAATCCAAGGAATCCAATCCAATCCAATCCAATCCAATCCAAGGAATCCAATCCAATCCAATCCAATCCAATCCAAGGAATTCCAATCCAATCCAAGGAATCCAATCCAATCCAGTCCAAGGAATCCAATCCAGTACAAGGAGTTGCTGGTGGAAGTGGAGGTGCTCCTGACACTGCTCAGAGGGCTCTCTCAGCCCAGGAACATTACAACTTGGAGCAGCTGACCTTCAAGCTTTGCTTTCCAGCTGATTTCTCACCAGAGCCAAACAATACCCACCTCTTTCTAAATGCCCACACCAGGGGATTAAGGGCCCAGGTGGGGGCCACACTGTGGCCACTTCCAACTGCTTCTTACTCTCCCTGATTTCTGCAGGGAAAATCTGGAGCAGCAGGGCTGGATTTGAGCCATGAGTTTAAGGCACAGTTTATTTCAGTGTGTGATTCTCAGGGATGCCAGCAGTGATTCCCACCAGGAAGAGCCCAGGGAAGAGGCAAACACTGGGAGCCACCAGGAGAAGCCTTGTTTGCCTTGCACCCACGCTCAGAGCTGGTGCTTTTAGTGCTGGATTCTCACAGCTTTTGCACAGCCTTGTGCCCTGCCTGCTGTGCATTACCCAGCCCTGACTTCCCCACTGTCTGTTTCCCAGCCCTGCAGACGGTCCCAGGATTTGCAGGTGTCCTGCAGCCCTTTCCTGAGTCCCAGAGCTGGTGAGTTTCTTGTGCTGGGTGCCAAGGCCACATGGCACAGAGCAAACCCCTGTGTGCCCCTGGGAATAGCTGCCTTGGGCCTGCAAGTCCCGCACAGCAAACCTGGGAGTGCCCCATGGAGCAGAGCTGGGAGCATGGAGACACCTGGCTCCCCTCTGAACACCTGGGGAGAACATAAACTGTTCTTGTCAGACCCCAAATCTCCCATTTCACCAAGACAGGGCCTATTGGGCTCCTTCTGCTCTCTCTTTCTGCTGTTTCACAAGCAGGTACTGAAAAGTTGGAGGTCAGACCCAAGTTTTCAGCTGTCATAATTTTTGTCTGAATTTCTCAACATTAAACACAGGCACCTGTGACATCCTCTTAGCCCACCCTGATTTAATTCTCTTTCCCTATCTGGAAATTTTGTTTTATCAGTTCTTCTTTTTCACAGAATCATTGAGGTTGGAAAGGACCTCTAAGATCAAGTCCAAGCTGTGACCAATCCCCATCTTGTCCCCAGCCCAGAGCTCTGAGTGTCACATCCAGGCCTTCCTTGGACACCTCCAGGGATGGGCACTCCAAACCTCCCTGGGCAGCCCCTGCCAAGGCCTGAGCACCCTTTCCATGGGGAAATTCCTCCTTATGGCCAACCTGAACCTCCCCTGGAGGAGCTTGAGGCCATTTCCTCTTGTCCTCTCACTTGTTCCCTGTGACCAGAGCCTGGCCCTCACCTGGCTACAGGTGTTTGTTTGTTTTGTTTCTATCCTTATTCCTATTTTTCCTCCCAAAACAGGATCCAGAGCTTGAACAGTGTCAGGGCACATCCACAGTATTTGTATTTAGCCACTAGGTGACACTACAAAACCCTTTATCCAAGAGGCTCCGGGATTTCCCAACAGGTACCACACCCTGGGTTATCAAGCCCTGCTTGATGAAGCAGGGCTAGGAAAAAACAAAACGGGATGGGGGTGTGGGAACGGAACTTTTTGGAATGAAATATTCAACATTTAATACCCTTGAGTATGGGGAGTTCTTACAAGAGAAATTATCTTCAGGTCTGTCATTAGATCTGCAATTTCTATTACACACAAAGGAAATCTAAGCAGGGAATGCATTGACAGTCTGGAAACTGAGAATAAATAAGTAAAAGGTACAGTAATTTGAACAGAATATTGTTTGAAGACTGTTTTTTCACTCAGAGAGGAAAAAAACCCCTCCCTACTGTGTGTGGTTTGGGTGCACCTTGAGGGAGAAGGTACCAGAGCACACATTTGCCCAGCCACCATCACCAGCAGCTTCCAGGATGTGGAGTTGGAGAAACTCAAATTAACAAAAGGGTGAAATTCCACTGGAATAGTGAAAATTCCTTAATCCCTGTTCCTACACTCATTCCACATTCATGTATCTTCAACTACAATCATTTTAGGTGCATTCAGCTACACAAACTCAGGCCATGTGCCTTCCAAATGAGGGGGTCACTCTTAAGGCATTAACATTTATTAGTTTCACACCTTTTGTCACTCAGCTAAGTTTAAGACACCCAAATTCAAATCAAGTTTCCACTTGGGAATTTATTTCACCTCAGTGAATGTATTTTCAACTCAAACTTTTTGCTTTCCCAACATTTTGTTGAGGACAAGCCATGATATCCTCCTTGGGGTGTTATAAAACACAAGCTGAACAAACCCCAGGACTTAAATACTTTTTTTGCCTTTAGCTCTGTTGTTTTTAAGTGGCATTACAAGAAAGGTGGTGGAACTGGCCTGGACAATGACAGTGCAGGTTGTCACATCAAGTTTTTACCTCCTTCTCATTATTTAAAGGATGATATTTCCATTTGCTGTGCTGCCAATTTAACCACATGGCACTTAAGTGCTGGGGCTTAAGAACATTATACACATTAGGATTTATAAATCCTTTGAATTGTAGATTATGACTCCAAAGAGGTTTAAAAAAATGTTTGGCAAACTGTATTTAACTGGAACCTGAGAGTGCTTTTAAAGCTCATAAAACTTTCCTCATTTACTTTAAAAGATCCATTTCTCATCCTCATAACCTGAAAAGAAAATATACAGATCTTTCTGGTCTCCTAAATTTTCTTTGGCATCTAGAAATACAATATTTATAATATTATTTACAGCAGCTATGCAATTATAGCCCATTTACAGTGGCTCAGAGGTGGAAGGAATCAACACTAACACATCTCTCCAGCTGATCCACAAAACCAGAGTGCTGGGAAAAGGAGTGAGTTCCTTACAATCCCAAATGATCATTTACTGCCTGAAAATTTGAGACCCAGGTAAAACTGACACAAAACTTCATTTTGTTCCTTTACATGTAACCATTTTACAATTTTTTGTTCTTTTACATGTAACCATTTTACAATTATTTTTCTATTTTTCCTAAATATATTATATATTTTTCCTAAATATATTATATATTTTCCTAAATATATTATATAATAATATATAATGTATAATATATAATATATTTATTTTCCTAAATATATTATATTTTCCTAAATATATTTTCCTAAATATATAATATATATGTATTTGGTAAATATTTTATATTTTTCCTATATATATATATATAATATATTTCCTAAATATAAATTTCTAAATGTATTCTATTATATTCCTGGACTAAGATATCTGACTGAATGAAGGAAATACATTAATTTCAGTCCATTTCAATACTGTGCTGCTCTGTAATAGCCTCGGGCAGAGCGTGGTGCTGAATGAGAGAGAGGTCAGTGGAGAATTGCTCCCTTTTCACTTTGCTAATCACATCACTCTCGTTTTGTCACAGTTTTTCTGATGTGACAGCTTGGGGCCAAAACAGCTCCAGGAAAGCTGTGCTCTGCTAACACACCCAGAAAGGTGCAAACCAGTGGGAAGCTGATTTGATGTGCAAGAAGGATAAATGGATCCCCCTCTTCCCTCCCTGCAGCTGTCTGTGACCCCAGGCTGGCCTGTGCCCCTGTTCCAGCTGTGTTCCAGTGGTGACTCTGTCCCCAGTGAGTCTTGGGAGGCCTCTGCAGGATTTGAAAATCCATCAAATTGCCAGTGATGGATTTATCACCACATTTCTCAAGGCCTCTGAAAACACAGACAGTGAAGGGGTGGTAAGAGAGGCAGTAAGGCAGCCCAGCATAACCAGTGGATTTCCAGGCATGGGTGTGTTGGAGGAGGCACCAGAAGGAAGAAACTTCTGGCAAATTCACTGCAATATAAGATATTGTCAAAGGCAACACCCCAGAATGCTGAGAGGGTTAAAGGCACAGCAGATATCAGGTTGTGCTTTGATATCCTGAACGCCAATTACAAGTGAGGGCAGAGGTGACTTTTCAAGAAACCACTCCCTTCCCAGATATGGGGCTACAAAATCCAGGATGATTACAAGAACTGTCAGCCTTGAGGTACTGCTGCAAAGGATAATAACAATGATACAGCTAATTAGGATAGTGCTGTTCAGGGCAAGGGTATCAGAGCACTCTGCTGGTTCCATTACCTTTCCACCACACCCCTGGAGGAGATCAATAATTCAATATACCTAGGTATGAGAGGGAGAGGACATGGAGGTACCAGAGAATCCCAAAATCCTGATCTTCCTCTAAAACACAGCTGCACACTTATCCTGCAGCCTCAGGCAGTCAGGGGAAGCCAAACCTTACAGGTGCATCAAGGGACACACATGAGTTATACAGGCCTTGGGGGAAAAAGACCATACACAGGGTTTTATTGAGACAGGTAATAGGTCACTTCCTTCTTCACCACTTACTTCAGCAACAAAGAGCTGTGCAAAGGTTTGATTTTCCTCACTGCTGTTATTGCTAAAGCCTGGAGAGTATTCCATGTTTGTTATCCGAACTGTGCCACTAAGTTTCTGGAAGGCTGCAAGGTAAGAAAAATATAATAAATATATTAATATCTTATATAAATATAAAAATATATATCTATTATAAATATATCAATTATATAAATATAATATGTACTTTATGGGCTGCAGCTCATGGACAGGTGGCCACATGAATCAACTTATAGCAGCAGAAGGCCAGCTCTCTGAAATGTAGCCCAAACCCCAAAATTCTAAAAATAAATCATCCAGCATCTTAGTCTGCCCTGCCTGAGCCCCAGATGGCTCTCAAGAAAGGCACTGACCTCCTGCAGGTCTCATATCTGCCAGCTCTGCCTGGGATCCTTCCTGATGTCTGGAATGCTGCTCTGTTCAGGCACTGGAACTGCTCTCCCTGGCTCAGCTGGATGTTCCACCAGTCCCTCCAGAGGGAAACCCTTGCAGCACCAAATCCTCCCTGCAGCCTCAGAGGAAGGCTGGGCTGCTGCCTGAGCTTACACATCTGCACTCTGGACAGCTGTGGTGGGATGAGATGAATCCCAACAGGGTTTGTACACTTCCCTCCTAGTTCACATCTGCTGAACGACATCAAGGCAGACTCAAACATTTTGAGTTTATTTCTTGATTTCTCTGTGTTTCCCAGTGTCTCTGGGCTTGGCATTGTTACTACAGACACTGAAGTGATCAGAGAGCAGAGAAAGGGCTTCTCAAGGCATGGTTTGTGCCCTGGCATGCATTTAGTGATGACTGCAATCATCCAATGCTGTGACCATTGCCAGCAAATTGCCTTCACTCTGCCCCCAGCTCCTAACAAATCATCACTCCTGCCACAGCAAAACCTAATGTCTCACTGGTTTATATAAATACAAGATTGTCTTCACCAAAAACCTCAAGAACTTCATCATCTGGCTAAGGATTCAGTTTAAAATTCTGAATCAAGTTACCAGTCTTTGCTTTCTGCTGTAGCAACCTGCTTTCCTCCCTGCACACACCCAACTGCACCTCCACAGGGGATCAGGCACCAGGTTCCAGCTCTGAGACTGTCTGACTCCTATATTCAGTTTTAATCTGCCATTTCAGCTGCTTTCTTTGAAACAGGAGGAATTATAAAGTTCTGCATAATCTCTGTGGACCACTTTACACCCAAGTTCTACTCACATTGGGAAAATAATCACTCGAACCAGGACAGGTACTGGAGGAAAGGAAATAGTAATCAGGTAAAGCTTTACAGAGGAGGGAAGAAATGCCTGCCTGAACCTCCTGAGCCCACTGGAGGAGGGTTCCTTCATCCCAGCATAATCCTGATCCCAAAGGAATCCTCACCACTGAGAGTCAGATCAAAGCATTTGGGTTTGCTTTTTGCCATGGCTTGTCCTGTCATGTGAGCACAGGTATTTAGGGGATAAAACACATTCAGTTGTCTCAGGTGAGAGAGGAAAATGTTCTGAACAATTTTTAAATAATAATAAAAACGTCCCCTGGTATTTAAAAGACCAAACTATGAAGAGTTGGCTGAGGTTGAGCCTCCAGGTCAGAGATGATGCCACAAGGAGGAGCTGCATATGAAACCTCACCAAACATGAGCTTTTGCCCTCTGGATTTCCTGCCCCAGGCTAGTGAGATGCCACTCTGGTGGCTCTTGCTCTTATTCCTTAGGCATAATCCCTCTACAAGCTTCTTTCCCAGCAAAAGCACTTGGCTAAATATTTGATTCATCAGGAATATAAAACAAGTTTTTATAAACTGAACTCCTTTTGTGTAGAATTCTTCATTTTTTTTTCCAGCTGGGAACAGCCTTTATGTGGCTTTTTGTCAGTCAAAAATAGCTAATTTTAGACTTAAAAAAAAAATCTTTGTTTGCATTAAAAAAAAAAAATCTTTGTTTTCATTTAAAAAACAAAACAAAACATCTTTTTAAGAGAAGAGAAGGCAGCAGCTGAGCAGGGCAGTGGCACAGCTGACCAAGGCAGGGCAGGATGGCAGGAAAGGACACCTGGTGAGCAGGGCTGGGGGGACAAGAGAGGCTGGAGAAGCAGCAGAACTGGCTTTACATGGCTGAAAAAGGCATTTTCCAGGGAGAAAGGAATGAGGGAGCACCAGAAGTGGGGCAGGAACTGTGGAGACCACCAGGAACATGAGATCACAGGGAGAGAGGGAGATAAAAGAGCAGAGGAATGTGTGACTTGGGATCAGAGAGATGTAGAGGGCATGAGAGACAGAATAAAGACAAGCAGAAGCAAAACTGAAATAGCCAAACTAAATAGTGACACACTACAGAAAAAATATACATTTAGTGATGGGTAGAGACAGCAGCATTCCTACCCCAAACAGAACTGTAATTTTAACACCAAATCTGACTCTCTGAAATATGATTCAGCTCCAACCAACAGAAAAATCCCCTAATTAACTGCAATACATCTGCCCAAACCCAAACAGATGAAACCTTCAGCAGCTTTGTTGCTCTCAATTGCATCTCTTGAAGCAGTGTCTCTCGGGTTTCCAGGCAGCTCCTGCCTCACAGGGGATTTGTGGAGGACTCTGTCTAATCATCATCTGCTGAGAGCAATGGGAAGGCAGGTCCTTTTCCTCCCTGGCTCCCTAAATTAACTCCACAGACAGCTGCTGCTGCTGTGTCCTGGTGCCAGAGGCTGCAAGAAAAACCAGGATATGTGGCAAAAAGACAAGCAGCAAATGTTGCCATGAGCCACATTTCAGTGCACTCTTTTATTGTGCTTCCTCCTTTTGGAGTGAAGAAATGTAACATCAATAAAAGCAACTGCTAAATTGCCAGGAAGAGGAATTGCTTTCACAAGCTGATTTAGCAAAGAGAAAGTGCCAATTCCTGCAGAAAATATTATTGACATAGAAAAAATTGCAGGCACCAAGACAATAACTTTGACATTGAAAAGATAGTTTTAGATGCCTTTTCTGAACTCTGAGTGAGACTTGCTTCTCCCCCAGGTGAATTCCCACATGTGCAGACCCCATGGGACGTGCACTCACTGAGGTCCAGGCTGGGGGCTGGAGAGGTGCCTGGCCAAGGTGGTGTCCCCAGGACTCCAGAATGTCCCTCAGACCAAGAGCCGTTCTCCCTTCCCTCCATCTGCTCTGGGGGTGGCAATGCCAGCGTTCTGGTGGCCAGCAGAGCTGTGTCAGGGCCACCTGGAGAGCTGCCCTGGGACACTGTGTGAGTGCTGGTGGCAGCTGAGGCTGCTTGAGTTGGAAACAGCCCAAGTGAGCCGAGCTGCTCGTGCCTGGCTGTGCCCATGGGTGTGCTTGGGAGAGCAGCCCTGGCCATGGAGCTTTGCTGCAATGGGCTCATGGTCTCTGTGCCCATGGCCAGTGCCCTGATGACAGTGACCCCCAGGGCCACAGGGCTGCTGGCCCTGCTGAAAGCCATCTGTGGGGACAGACTTTTTGCCAAGGCATTGGAGGAGCACTGGTGGGACTGTGGGACACTCGTTTGTCACCCAAGGCCAGCGCAGCAGGGAGGAGTGTGGTAGCACCAGATGTGGGGCCTGCAGCAGCCACTGCCCCCATGGCCAGTGCCCGCTGGAGGTGACCCCCACGGCCATGGGGCTGCTGGCCCTGCTGAAAGTCATTTGTGGGGACAGACCTTTTTGCCAAGGGGTTGGAGGAGCACTGGTGGGATCGTGGGATGCTCGTTTGTCACCCAAGGCCAGCACAGCAGGGAGGAGTGTGGTGACACGGGGCCTGCAGCAGCCACTGTCCCCATGGCCAGTGCCCTGCTGGAGGTGACCCCCACTGCCATGGGGCTGCTGGCCCTGCTGAAAGTCATTTGTGGGGACAGACCTCTTTGCCAAGGGGTTGGAGGAGCACTGGTGGGACTGTGGGACGCTCGTTTGTCACTCAAGGCCAGCGCAGCAGGGAGGAGTGTGGTGGCACCAGATGTGGGGCCTGCAGCAGCCGCTGTCCCCGTGGTGGCAGTGGGAGCAGGGCCTGCAGGGCTTCTGCCATCCTCAGGAGCCAAGTCCGTGCTGGTTTTTATTTCAGGAGCCATGGTTTTGGTGAGAGGATCCACAATCTCACCTGCAACACAGAAAACACACCCTGAAATGGGGCTGAAACTGGACGAGGAGGCACCAGGGCCTGGCCTGAAAATGGCACCAAGGGTGCTCAACCACCCATGGCAGCATTACAAAACCAGGTCTTGGATGGTCATGAACACAATGTAGAACACGGGATTTTTGTGGGGTTGAATCTGGTTTGGGCTGACACAAAGAAGCAGATTTGGTTCCTGGGTCTCCTGTTCTGGTTGGCAAGGCTGTGGATCAATTTGGTGGGAGGAAATTAGCCACAGACACAGCAAAAGAGGGAAAAGTACTCCTTGCAGTTATCAAGCTTATCAAGGAGGATCTCAGAGAGATTTCACCTGAATTTGTTTATTGATTAATTTATTTATTTAAAGAATAATTTTATTCACACACACACACATATATATATACATATATATATATATATATTTAGAGACAGGTCACATATACCCCTTCAGCCACAGACTGCAAAGGTGCAATTATATAAGCAGACACTATAAAAGCAGATGTAAAACCCCACAACTTATTCCCATGTTTCATGGCAAAAATAAAACCCTACATGCCAGCCTTTTTCTCACCCTCACAGTTCCTTCCAGGTCGGGATGGATTGGTATCCATGGTTGTCTTGCATCTGCACATGTAAGAGCCCATCAAATTGATGCACTCTGCAAACACAGAGCAGTCATTCTCAGCTTGGGAAGCACATTCATCCCAGTCTGTGGGACCAAAACAAGAGAAAGGGTCAGAGAGCCTCCCTGCTGGCTGCATTAGGCTAGAAATAATCATTAGGTAGTCCTTTTTTAATTTACTTTTGTGGTCTTCCTTTTTCATCATTTACCTGTCAGCCAGGCTTTGAGTGATGCAGAACACTAACTGTTTTGTTATTCTCTTGTTCTTGTACTCTGAAAAGTATTTTCTCTGAGTAAAGACTTTTAAAATCATTGTTTTAAGAGGTAAACACATTAAAGAGAAAAAAAAAAGCTGTAGGTTTGTACTACAATTATATCAAAATCACTCACTACACCAAGTTCTATGTACAGCACCTCCAGATATATCAGGTAATGAATAGATCTGTTACCACTAGTTACCAGTAGATACAACATTAAATAGAGACTTAATCCAAATAATCTTCTGCTTCACATAAAAAGTAAATGCTAGTAACTCCCAGGGGAAGCACTGTTCTGTTCTTAACAGAGGAAGTGCTAAGGGCAAAATCTCTTTTTATACAATTTTTCTTCTCAAAAGTAATGCTGTAAAACTGTGACCCTCTTTCTGGTAGTGTCAGAAAAGACATCCTGATTCATCAATGCATGAAGATGCTCTAAGGGTGTTCCTTATGTCTGATTTCAGCTGCTCTGTATCAGTCAGAGTGGCTTTTTCATGTAGTTATAGACCTATTTTATTGCTGAGTCTCTTCTCTTTTGAGGGATTTATATCTGGAGTCTTGTGCTGCCATTCAGACCCTATTCCAGCAAATCTGCAAGGGCTGAGTTAGTCCTTTGGACAGGAATAATTCCAGTGAATTCCAGGTGAGCCCTCCCTGTGTGACAGCCTCCTGCACTCACCTTCTGCCTCAGGGCCCTGAAAGAGGGAGAGCAGCAAATGAGGCTAAAAACTGTGTGCTGGGACAAATAATCCTGATCAGAGGCTAGAAAATTGTTCTGAATAACAAATTAACAGAAGTGCTTGATCTGCAAACTTGCAGATTAATGATGGTGATTAATTCTCTGAAACAAAGGAATATCCCACTCCATGTGCATGCACATACACACCCTCATCTTTCTGCTTGCTTATCCTTCCTTTTAGCTAATATTTCAGTTCTTTTCACTTTTTTTTTTTTGTCATTGGGTAATTGCTGTATCCATGATAGTCTCCATTAGACAATTTCATGAGCCTATGGCCAGCAGTTGCCTATTATTCCAGCCTAAGCCACTTAGAGGGAATGAAGAAGGGTGCAGGACTGACTGAACACCAGAGATGAAATCTCATTAATTCCTAACTGCGCTGTGAAATAATTGTGACCCTTGGTGGCTTCCAACACCATTTGAGAGATGCTAATTGCCAAATCACTTACATTCACTGCCTCCATTGTCTCTGAGGGTTTCCTTTCTCCTCACTTAGCACGGCTTTTTAAGCAAATTCCTTCACCTCTGATGGCCACATTCAATCATGCATGGGGTAAAAGCGCTGCCACTGACTGGTGCATCACTTGTGCACATCCACACACACACACTGCCCTTTTTTCCTGTCCAAACCATCACATCTCAGCCAAAATCTGCTCTGAGCTCTCTTTCTGCACTCTTGGCACCTCTCTGGCCCTTCACATTTGGCACTTCCCTACACACAGCTCAACCAACAGTCCTAGTCCAAAAATTATTAAAATGCCACCTTTGTGTTCACTCTGATTACCTATTTTACACCTGTAAGGGGTACATGCAAAGGGTAAAAATCTTTGACATTCCTTGCCAAATGATGTTGCAGATGTTGAAGATTTATCTGATTTGATGGGGGAGATTCATGGGGGATAAACAAACCCAAAGAAATCCCTCTGGATTCAGGGAGTCCTGGAACTAAAACCAGTTGTTGGCTAAGGGATTATTTGAGGAAGGTGATGCCTTCTCCAGGAATTGGCTCCTGGATGGGACATTGTGCTAGAAGGGTCTTGGGCCTGACTCAGCACACATCCCTTTCTCTTCTCTCACCATGCCCCACAAAACAGATTTTATTGTCTTTATTCATCATGGCAATAAGTTTAATAATTAATGCATCTTCAAAGAGATCTGGTCCACTCCCTTCAGTTGTGCTGTCCCTTCTGACTGCTCAGCCCTGCTTTTCACAGCTGAATGGACTGTCAGTAAACCAAGCACAAAGCCAGGTGGTGGCCAGGCTGCAGGGGGGATCCAGGGGACAGGGTTTGGGTGGGCTTATTGCCAAAGGTCATGTCCTGGGGCTCTCCAGGGTCAGGAACGAAAACACCCCATTATACAAATTCTTCCTTCCTGTGTTTCACTCCTTATTTTCCACTTAGGAAACTCATGTTGAAGAAACTCTTCTTTGGGTAGAGATAAGAAATCATCTTTGAAGATGCATTAATTATTAAACTTATTGCCATGATGAATAAAGACAATAAAATCTGTTTTGTGGGGCAAGGTGAGAGAAGAGAAAGGGATGTGTGCTGAGTCAGGCCCAAGACCCTTCTAGCACAATGTCCCTGAGGAGGAGTGGAGGTGTTGGCTGTGCCCCTGGATAAGTGTGGTGCTGCTGGAAGCCACCTGGTTTTCTGCAGCTAAAGTGACAGTCCAGAGCCATCACCTTCTTCTTCCTCAGCCTTTTGGTCCCAGGATCAATAACACTTACAAAGTATTTTGGCACACATCAGCCTCTTGCAATTCAGCTGCCACTGTGATATTTGTAGGCTTCAAGTGCAATTTGTCTCCTGGTTTTTTCCTGTCCTGTTCTCCTTAACCTGCATATGCAACTCCAGAGGGAGCTTTTCCTGCTCAAAAAGGCTCAACACACCAAGAGAGAAGAATAACCCATTTCTGTTGGCTTTGGCAACTTTCTGAACTCTGCTGTCTCTGCCAGCTGGGAAACTTGAGGACAGAACTCAGTTCTTTGAAGATAAAAGTGGTGATTACTGAAGATCAAACAAAGGCCTAACTTAACATAAATTCCATGCATGTTCCTTCAGTCCTATTCACAGGAAGGACATTTGGGAATTCCTCTGGCTGGGTTTCTAGAGGGAAGATGTTAGATTTCTCAAACCTTGGCCCAAGTACAGTCCCCCAGTCTTGGAGCACAAAACTGTCTAGAGGGTGTGTGGATCTAGAGGCTACAGATATTCCACAGTAATCCTGTCTGCCTTTCAGCTTGAGAAAGATATGGCAAAATTCCAGCTGGGGACAGAAAGGAGAGGGAGGAAAATGAATAGGGAAACCAAGGGCTCCACTTGGGTTAACCACAGTGAGGAGAAGCAGTGCCTGCAGGTACCTGGGGACAGCCAGTGGTCATTTGTCTGACCCTCCTGGGCTTATGGATAAAACCCCTGGAAGAATTCTCACATCATGGTTTTCTCTTCAACAAACCACATCCTTTGTTTCTCTATTTTGAGAGGAATACTGGTGACACTGCACGTGATCAAAACACAAATGGTGCTTTCCTCTTTGAAAAAAACAATAACAAAAATTACCTTCCACTGCAGAGTTTTGCAGATCCACCCCAAGCACAGAGCCATTGTGCAGGTAGGAGAGCACTGGGGCAAATGTGGAGGCATCCACTGGAAACTCAGGATCCTGCACGGTGATTCTGAGCCTCACAATGATGCTTCCTGCTGCCAGGGATTCAATCTGCACTTTCAGCTTCCCAGATTTGTACAAGGCAGAAATGTTGGGTGGGAATGAATTTTCAAGCTGAGCAAAAGGAGACAAGCATTGATGATTAGGGAGCCAATAAGTACCTCTTTAAATATTTATATAAGCACAGCATAGAAGATGCTGGAAAAAGAAAATTTCCAAAGTGTTTCTGAAATCTTATTTTTCAGAGATTATTGTGGCACAAAGTAGTGCAACCCAGCTGAGAAGGACTTGAGTGTGGATGAGAGGCTGGACATGCCCTGGCTGTGTGCACTGGGAAAACCTCTGTTTGCTGGGCTTCCCCAAAATCAGCAGGAGAGGGGGGAATTCTGCCCCTCTGCCCCTTTCAGGAGAGACCCCACCTGCAGAGCTGCATCCAGCCCTGGGGCCAGCACAGGAAGGACAAGGAGCTGCTGGAGCCAGTCCAGAGGAGGCAGCAGGATCAGAGCAGCTCTGCTGTCAGGAAATGCTGAGAGAATTGGGATTGTTCAGCCTGCAAAGCAGAAGGCTCTGGGGAGATTTAGTTGTGACCTTCCAGTACCTGAAGGGAACTTACTGGAAAGATGAGGCAAGACTATTTACAAGGGCCTGGAGTGACAGGACAAGGGGGAATGGCTTCAGACTGACAGAGAGTAGGATTAGATTAGATATTAGGAAAAACTTCTTTACTCTGAGGGTGGTGAAGCCTGGACACAGGTTGCCCAGACAAGCTGGGGATGCTCCACCACTGGAAGGCCAGGTTGGACAGGGCTCTGGGCAACTTGGTCTCTGTCTATGGCAGGGGTTTGGAACTGGATGATCTTCAAGGCCTCTTCCAAACCAAACCATTCTGTGATTACATAATTCTATGATACCTTTGAAAACTGTATCTGACCACTGGTGTTATTACAGACCAAGTTCCAAATTTTGTTTCAAGGGAGCAGAATTCCCCCTGGCCCCTTTTGCTTGCAGCAGAGCTGAACTGTCCTGGTAAATGCATGCAGCAGAGCCTTGATGTTATCTCTGTATGTCACATATACATTTTGTTTCATTTGCAAGTGTGGCCATGGCTTCAGTTCCCAGGGAGCATTTGAAACTCACCAGTTCAAGTTCAGCCCGCAGCCCAGTCCAATAATAAAGAAAACTCAGGATGAGAGACAAAAATAATGGGGGTGGATAACTTCAAAAAATGTGTTTGAGACAGCCCAGCTTCAAGGCAGCATCACTATTACATCATGGCTAATTACCAAACCAGCTGAACAAATGGCATTACTCTGAACACTGAAGCTGGCCCACTGCTGTCAGCATTTGAGCTGTGCAGGAGCTGGCAGTTTCACCTTACATATCTAGAAGGCAGCTCCTTGCTTGAGCCTTTTGTTGCTGCATACACCTCAAAGTGTGTCTTTGAGCAGGAATCCAGAGCCATAAAGCAGCACAGCTTTGTTCCCATTCAGCCAGAGCTTGCTCAAAAAGATCCCTACAAACAAAATGTGTAGCTGGTCTAAGCTCACATCAGGGTAGAAAGGCAAGAAAATGAGGAGAGAAGAAATGAGAGGGGGATGTTGTGCTCACAAACACCCAAGGAGGCAGAAGCAACACATGGGCAATGCTCCTTTTCCTTCCCATCCTGATGAAGCCAATCAGGTCTGCATTAATCCCAGAGAAGACTCAGTTACCAAAATCTTCCTACACAACAAAAGTGAATAATTTGCAACTGTGGGAAATAAAGCCATGTGAGGAGGTTCAACTTGCAATTTTTGTTGGGCAAATGCTTCTCCTCTGCTGCCCTTGAATGTATAGCTCCATTATTGTTTTGGGTTTTTCTCTTGCATCTAAATTCAAACACGATTACAATTCACCCTTTGCTTTGGGGAAGCCTTGTGTTGGGTGGAGATCCCAATTCCTCTGTATGGGCCCTGTTCTGTGCAGAAAAGCTGTAGGAAATGTGCTCCATCTGAAACCTCTCCCTTTTTTGGGAAGCTCAGAGCTGCCACCAGACTTCACGACTCAGGTTTTGTTTCAGGCTGATTACACCTGACTGTGGACAGTGGCCACATGTGTGCAGGCAAGGAGAGGAAAGCCTGACCCAGACACTTTCCCTGAAAGAAGAAAGACAGCAGGCAGAGAACTATTTATTTGAGAGGAGGAAGACATTTATTGAGCAGACTGTGCTGAAATGAATGCCAGGAATGCCATTTCAATAATCCATTTAAAAGCCTCAAGTTAATTTACCGTGAGTTTATTGCCAAATTAAAGATCCAAGGAAAGGAGCCCCTGTTGCATGCCTGCATTTATAATTCCTCCACTCTTCTGCAGAGGAAAATTCTCACTGGCTTCATTGCTAACAAGGCCAAGGGCTTGATCTGTCTAGTCAGTTGAATTTTGTTGCAATTATAAAGAAAGGTCACAGGAAATTGTATGCTGATTTTTGAAGGACTATTTCATCCAGGCATAAAATCCTCTATTAGATTAAATAAATTTTACATTGAAAAAAAACCCATATGTATTACCCAGAGATGTAGTCATTTTACCTCTGTAAGCAACAGTCTTGAAAATTCCTCATATGCTGAGCTGCTGGAATTATGGAAATCATCAGTGAAGTTGTAGTTGAGAATCCTCATAGTAACATCAAATAGCTTGGCCTCTGTAAAACACAACATTAAAACACACTGACAAAGTAGGAAAGGATTCAGTTAAAATTCATGTACCTGGACCAAAATCTCAGCTGATAGAAGAAAAGAGGGCAGGATTGAGAGATTTTGGTATTAAATAAAAAAAAAATAAGGCAAATAGGCTCCTACAAGCTTCTGATATATTGAGAAGATGCATTTATATTAGGTCTAAAGAGATATTTTGGTGCCTGATTGCAACTGCATGAGAACTAGGTGTACACATACTTTATGTGTGGGTTTACACATCCCTGGCCTGACCCTACATAACTCCTGCCCTGAAGTCACACCCAGGGTTGAATTGCCTGTGGGCTCATCTCTGGCCCACCAGTCACAGTTTTTATTTAATTTCTTTCTTTATTTTCCTGATCTTGGCAGTGGGGATAGTAAATGTATTCTCAAACTGAAAATACAACAGGAAGCTGTGCATGCCCCTTGAGTGTGTGGTGAGCCCTGACAGATACTGTACAGAGCACAGCAGCCAAAAACCAAGAGCCAAGGAATCTCTAACTGCTTTGTCCTGTATAAACACTCCCAGGCTGTTACTCCTTGGACTGATCCTTGGAAAAATTTTCTTTTTCTCAAAGGCTCCAACTTCATACTCTGAAGTTCGGCCCACTGTTTTCATAACCACTAGACCTCCTACTTTCCCTCCACAAAGAGAGTAATTTCCTTCTGACCCAAACTGAAGTCATCCCTCATCTCATCAAAGGCTAGGGATAAACATGAACAGCAGCATTCCTGCTGTGGTCACTAATAAAGAGTTCACTGCCTGCTCTTTGAAAAAGAGGGGAGAGATTTATTTCTTTATTTGCATGGAGGCTTAGGAAATAATTTAAGACTAGAGAAAAAGCAAAATTATGTTTGATCAACACACTAGGGCCTCAGGAAGCTCCCACCACCAGTTAATTGAACAGAACTGGGCAGGTAGTCTGCAGCTTTCTTACTCAGAGCTTGTAATTCTCTTTAACCCTTTATTCAGCAGAATCTGCCCTTCCTCTGGGCACTCCTGTTAGCTCAGCTGAGCCCTTGACAAACCAGTTGCCTGGATTTCCCTCTGGCCACAACCATCAACCAGGGAAAAACAAGGCCTCCTGGGAGATGGGTGGCAGCAGAAAGCAGTGGCAGGCACCAAAGAAATACATTTTAAAAAAAGAATTATAGGTAGCCTAGCCTGATATCTGTAATAGTCTAATCAGCTCCTGCACTGCTTTATCAACTAAGGCCAAAGTTCTGCTGCCTGATATTCTGGATTGGATAAATGCTGGAGAAGATGAGATAAAAAGTGCTGAAGAAGATAGGAAATGTTGTTCAGTGAGGACCAAAGGGTCATTGCTGAACTGCAAATGAGTGGGGATGGAAGGAGGAGAATGGAGAAGACAGAGATATACTATATTATATTATATTATATTATATTATATTATATTATATTATATTATATTATATTATATTATATTATATTATATTATATTATATTATATTATATTATATTATATTATATTATATTATATTATATTCATGTATTTTAAAGTGTTTCTTTACCTGTTTTAACATTTTGACGGGAGACAATGGTTTTTCCACAAGCTTCATAGCTGATCTCTACTGAATACATCACACCTGCTTCCAGGTGAGACACATCCACCTGCATTTCCTCTGTCTTCAGGCTTTGCACAGTTTCATTGCCCTTGGCCACCCCGACATGGAACGTGTGGTTCAGAGTGGAACTGACAAGCCAGGACATTTCAAAGCTGTTGCTGGTGACGCTGAGGATTCGATGGTTTGTGACTGCAGAGGGATCTGTTGCAGGAGTTGGCACAGAAAAAGCAACATTTCACTTTTAAAACCTTGTGCTGTTCTAAATCCACTACAGAGAAGCACTTTGACAGTCAATAGGGTCAGGACAGAATCTGCCCCTCTCACACCAGCAGATCCCCTCATCCATGAACCACCCCACTAGAGTGACTGATTTAGTGTTTGACCTTTTTATTTCCTTTTACAATATGCTCTTCTGTAGAATCATAGAATCACAGAAAAGTTTGGACTGCAAAGAACCTTAAAGATCATCCAGTTCCACCCCCTGTCATGGGCAGGGACACCTTCCACCAGACCAGGCTGCTCAGAGCCCCATCCAATCTGGCCCTGAACACCTCCAGGGATGAGGCAGCCACAATCCCTCTGGACAACCTCATCTCCTCCAAATCTCCAGTCACAGAGACAATCAGCCATTGAGCTATGGGTGCAAGCAACAGGAACAAGTTTGGAAGACTGACTCTGGGTACTCTACATGTGTTGACACCTGCTTTGCCTCCTGTCACTTTAATCATCAAAATGCCCCTGTTCAGGCAAAGATTGCCTGGATTTATCCTGGGAACCCCCCCAGAGCCAGCTAACAGAGGCTGGGGGAGAGTGGTGTGCAGCACTTCACCTGTCATTGCACTCTAATGCAGTGCAATCATTGTCATGTCAGTGGGAAAAGACAGGGCCCTTCAGAGATGATTCCTGTCCTGGGAGGAGGAGGTGTTTGAACTGGGTAGGATGAGTTGCCCTGCAGCAGAGCCAGTCAGTCTGGCTCAAGAGAGAGAGCCCAGACCAGACACCTCTGCTGGAGAGAGCAGGAGAGATGAGCATCAGACCCCACACTAACCCAGAGACCACAGCACGCTGCTGCCACAGCTTCAGCTCTTTCATGCTAATGGGTAGACTAAGGAGAAAAGGTTGTTTTCATACATTCATAAATTCTTTTCATCAATAGAACACAATTTTTTCCAGCACTCTGAGCCAGGTGGCTGCCAAACACCCCCCAAGCCACTCCCCCCTGTGCTAGAGGGGCCTCAGTTTAATTCCTCTGGCTTCAGCTTCGATCAGGAGTTGTGGATGAAGATCAAGAATACCCAGCCTGTCTCTCTGAACTCTTAAAGAACAACTTAAATCTATTTCCTCCCACAGAAGAACAGGGTGCTGTTAAAAGGATTGTAATAACTCTTGCCTGAAAGGGCTGGATCACCCATACAAACACAAATCTACTGAGGTTGGTTCCCATCACAAATCAAGAAAACATTTGCTAAAATCCAAGGTTACTTACAGCACTCAGCATCTCTAGATTGGTTGGTTATGGACAAGAGACTTGAGTTCCTTACAGAAGGAGAGCTACTGCCAGTGTTAACAGCATTTACTGAACTTAGAGTAGATGCTACAATGTCTATGGGAAAATCATATTATCAGAGTTAGAGTATTTCTAAGAAAACAAATTCAAAATAATACCATTCAGGTTTTCCACATGAAAAGCAGCAATAGAAGCAACATAAATAAAAAATAAAAGTGTTATCATATCACAAAAGCATAAAGCAATACATTATCTTCATTTTTGAGATTAAGGGATTGTAAAATTGTTTTCTAATTAAAGCATTGAATCTGCAAGCAGTTATTCATCTCATTATCCTAAAGCCTATTAGCAGGCCCATTGATGTCTGTGGGCTGTAAGTATATTTTGCTGAACTGGTACTAGAAGGAATTATTTCAGCCAGTGCCAGAGAGCTCAGCAGCAGTGCAGGAGCTCAGAGTGGGATCACACAACCACTGAGTCTGGGCTGCAGTCAAAATAGGAACAAAGAAAATAGTAGAAATAATGCCATTAATTGTTTCTCAAGAGGCTGGGTGCAGCCATGGTATTTTATGAAAAATCCTTTTGCTAGGATTTTTCTCCTGAGAAGCTGAGAGGCCTCAGAAACAAAATGTAAACAATGGTTATCTGCTGCTGTGGAATGCAACAGGTGCATCTGTGATTGGTCTCATGGGGTTGTTTCTAATTAATGGCCAATCACAGTCCAGCTGTCTCAGACTCTCTGAGAGTCACGAGCTTTTATTATCATTCCACCTCTTTCCTTTCTAGCCTTCTGATGAAATCCTTCCTTCTATTCTTTTAGTATAGTTTTAATATATCATTTTCTTTTAATATAATATATTTATCATAAAATAATAAATCAGCCTTCTGAAACATGGAGTCGAGATTCTCATCTCTTCCCTCATCCTGGGACCCCTGTGAACACCACCACAGCTGGGGAGGTGCACTGACAACAAGTGTGCTCTGAGAAGCATTAGGGTCTGAAGTTTTAGGTTTTGGCTGATGAGTGAGGACAGCTTGATCCCAAGTGAAATAGAAGAACCACAAGGGACTGTGAAATAAATACTCTGCATTTCCATCAGAAACAGGTAACAGGTTTATGTGGCATTTTCTCCCAACAGGAGGAGAAAGGGCACTCATACTCCAGAAATTCCTGAAGGTGACTCCTGCAAAGGAGCACCGAGTCCTGCAGGAACATCCTCAGCACTTCCCAGGGTGAGACCCACGTTTCTTACCTTCCTTCCTTGGGCTCAGCCAGGGAGGGATGACAGTGGCATGTCCATGCTGGGGGTGGCAGCTGTAATAACCCTCCAGGTTCACACAGCTGCTTTTCTCAGGGCAAGCATTGAATTCAGCATAGGAGCATTCATTGACATCTAGGAAGAACAACACACCTTGCACAGATATTGGGAGCAGCATCTAGATTGATCTGCACTGTGTGTAAACCAGGCTGTGGCTATGATAAATCCAGTGTAAATCTGCAGTAATGCTGTTAAAGCCATTCTGGATGTTACCACCCTATCACTTTTTACCCCAGTTCTTTGGAATTAGAGGACAATTAGGGGCAGCTCCTGCTTACACCTGTAGGATGCCCTCCAAACCTGAGATGTCAGTACAGGAGGAAGGAGGACTACCCAGTGATTTCACTGAAAGCTGAACTGAGTAAACACAGAATAAGAAGATTTTAGGAGTGAAAATGTTCAGACAACTGCAGAGCAATAAGTAGCTTGATATAATTTAAAATTAATATATTGAAATGTTTATGTAACATTTAAAAAGTATGTAGCAATATGCTGTAGTAATTAACAGACTACAAATATGACTCGTTTCATACAAGCTACTGGAAATAATATATTTGCTTCCCAAGAAAACAGGTTTTTAAGAGCCTGTTTAATACAACTAATAATTGTGCTACAAATAGGCACATATTTGCTTTTTCATCTGGAAAACTATGTTACTGGGAGAAAATAAATTTGAGGTTTCAGAAGCACTCCCTTCCAAACTATTCACTCCAAAATAATCATTGGTTCTCCATCCTATAACAGAAAGGTCAGGGCTGTGTTTGCAAAGTTTGCAAGATCCTCCGTGCTATCTTGTGTATATCTCTGTGCTATTTGAAAGCAAATTAATGGTTATATAAATGAGATCCCAAGCGAAGAGGGGCAAATCCCCTAGAATGTGACAGGGTTACAGTCAGTGACCTTGCACTTGTGTGTCAATCACTTCATACACGCGCTTCACCATGGCCTTCAGGGAGGAGGAAACCTCTGTCAGAGGAGCTGGATGCTGCATGCCCAGGAGAAGCTGGGAGGCCACTGTCCCAGTGTAGATGTCCCCAGGGTTACTCTGGATGTGGTGCACAGAGGCATTCAGGGGCTGCAATGCACCAGTGATCTGGAAAACAGGGCAGCAAACACTGGAGCACCTTGGTCATTTCCCAGCACATGAATTATGCAGTGGTTATTATCATAATCTGAGTGGAGGAAGAAATTCAGAAACCATGGCAAAGTGGTTTAGACCTGTGTTTATGAAAGGTGAGTTCTTATTTTCACATTTCACAGCAGATTTATGCTACAGAAATGCCAAGCCTAGGGGGGTGCAGAGCTGATCTCAAAATGCTTTGGCAGAAGGATTGTCCTGGGTTGTAAAATGAGTGTGTGTTCTACTGCCCATCTGTCAGAGCTGGGGCAGCTCTCTGCTGTCCATGGGGCAGTTTTTCCTTTCTCTCTCCCCCAGCCACTCCTCCCTGCAGGAGATCTCTGCTGTCCATGGCCACTGAGTGTCCCTGCAGGGCTGATCCAATCCCATCATCCCATGGGGAGATGCTGCATTGCCCAGGGGAGGAGCCAAGCATTCCTACCTGGATCCAATCTGAGGTGCTGGGACAGCCCAGCAGCCTTTGCCCAGTGCATTGCCAGAGGAGCAGCTTCTGCTGCCCTGCATTGCCAGAGGGAGCCCAGGCCCATCTGCAGCAGCCCTGGAGCTGCAGAGGAAAACTCCCCCCTTGTGCAGGATCCCTGCTCCAGCAGAGCCACAGCTGGCACTGCAGGAGGGCTGAGCCCCCATGGGATGGGGCTGTGCCACCCCCTGACACACAGGGGACAGGGACTGCTCTCACTCTGGCAGTGTTGGTTTGTATTACTACATTTTTATTTTATTTTTATTTTCTTCCCTAATAAAGAACTGTTATTCCCATTCCCATATCTTTGCCTGAGAACCCCTTAATTTCAAAATCATAATAACTTGGAGGGAGGGAGTTTACATTTTTCCATTTCAAGGGTGGCTTCTGCCTTCCTTAGCAGACACCTGTCTGTTCAAACCAAGACAAGAACTAATCCAGGAGGAGGTGGGAAAAGTTCTGCTTTGCAAAGTCTCAGTGGATTACAATAAATTACACAGGCCACTGCAATTCACCTGCAATAAAGCTGCCCAACACTTCTTTGAACAGCTAAATGGACTGCTGGCAAAGGGAATAGAAAGAAAAAGAGGAAAAGCAATAGACTCAGGATGAGGGGTGGGATTAAGAGGCACAGAGAGACCCCAGAGAGACCAAGCCATCCCAACTGAGAGTCAGGAATGAGAAAAGGGATTTGCTGGTGAGCTGAGCATTAAGAATCAGTGGAACAGACAGCAGGACACTCTGAGGAGCAGCTCATTGAACAGCTTCACCTCAACTCCCCATTTATTGAGTGTTTGACTTTAACATTGCTTGTTTTAGACCAAGATGTAAAAGCCTTGGTGGATCCTTGCCCCTACTCCCTACTACACAGCAACAGGACAAGGTTTCTTGCTTTTTTAGGATATGAGAAGGGGAAATCAGGAGGAAGAAGGACACCCATGCTGTTGTTATCATTTCTATTCTGCTGCCCATCAGTGCCAGCAGATTATGGCGGGTAGGTTTATCTTAGAAAGGCTTAACTTAAAATTCCATATCAGAAAACATCATGCTTTGAAGGGCTTGAAGTCTGGTCCCAGTCTTTCACAGGCCCAAAACTGAACTGAGACAAAGCTGGAGCAAGCACTACTTAAGCAGAAAAACCCTCTTTATTTCAGTATGTCTTTAAATTGCCTTTGGAAGAGACCTGAAAATTTTGCTAAAGAAGCTGATAAATCAATGTTACTTGAAATGCTTATGGATGCAGCTGGCATTCAGTAATCAGAAATACAGAAATAATCAGAAATAGGGCCAAAAAAAATCAATCTGGCAGAACCAAGGGGGAGCAAAGAGTGGCCCCTGAGTAACAGAATCGTGGGCACAAGGAGGGAAGAGTTTGTTTTTGTACATACCACGGAGTGCAAGAGGCGGGAATGATTCAGAAGGTGGGAATCCACCCGGATCAATTCACTAAACTCCATTTTCACAAGCACTGTCACGTTGTACCAGAACATCCTCCCTGCAGTGTAGGAAATAAAACAGCCAAGTCATCTGAGGTCTGCTGCTACAGAAGGCGACAGGGCTGCAGGGGGGCTCTGAGGAAACCAAGCAAGGTTTCACTTGGCAAACATTGAGGGGCCACAAAGAGCCCAGCTAGGGCCTCGTTTGCCATATGCCACAGGCAGGGGAGCCAGCCCAGGAGAAGGAGCCAGGGAAGGTTTGCTGGACCCACAGCACCCACACACTGCTCAGGGGTGCAAGCACTGAAGCTGAATATCCTGGAATCCATCCAAGGCACATTCCCATATTTGTTTTAGGAAGAGCTGTGGTAACAGTTTTCCTGCCCACTCCCACCCTCAGGAGGGAAAATGAAGGATATTTCTATTAGAAGCAGCATTGAATTTATCAGTAACATACCCTCTGGCATGGGATCCACACAGCCTGCTCCTTTGGATGAGCTGCAGCATTTTTTCAGCCCTGGACATTCAGTATCGAACGTGCAAGGATAATCAAATGTTTCCATATCCTTCACTGGACAAATACCAGGTCTTGAGGCAAACACACTGGATCTATTGAGTGCTAAGTAACAAAAACATTTCTGAGAACAAAAGTACAGAAATTGTGATATTTAATTTATACCAAACACCTCCTCCTCATTTTAGAAGCATGTCTGTTCTGAGTTTTTAATGGGAAGAAAACAGCAGCCTAAAATGTCATTATTTCATTTCAAGGATGTAAATATTCTCAGATCTTTCTCTTGTCCATGACATTTCTGTTACAGAAATTTTGAGTTTCTAACTTTTCATTAATAATTATGGATGGATGGGCTCATAGGTAAGTTTCTAAATGTGGAGACACTGAAGCACTGAGAAACAGAAAATATGGCTGATAGCAGCTGTGACTAATCCAAATAATATCTAATGATCAAAGAAAACAGGTACTGTGTAAGGTAGAAGTTGAGAACTTTCATTTAACATTTTGTGGCACAAATTTAACCTAAGTTGCAATAATTCTGTTCCAGCTGGCCACTGTTGGTAGCCCACACCAGAGAGCCCTGCAGAGAGGGCAGCTGAGGCAGGAGGTGGCTGATTCCCAAGCCAAGGGCAGACAGTGGTTCTGACTCAGTGCCAGCACAAAATCTCTTCTAGGGAGGAAAAGAGAAAATATTTCCAAGCCCTACAAACTCCTTTACCCACCCTCTCAAGCACAGCTCCAAGCAATGCTCAGCTCTGGTCTTTCTAAGCAACCTGAAAGAAATCTCTTTTCCATTCATTTTGCACCTCCAAGTTTTTGATCCTTTACTGAGCAATTGAAGTCAGCCAGGAGAAAATGAACTTGTTTGCTGCAACGGGAACAGTTGTGGTGCAGGAAAACCACATTTGACGTAATAAAGTCCAGAGCAAGTGAAAAGTCCACAGCAAACCATAAATCTGTTATGAACAGTCAGATTGTGGGTTTATAATTTCTGTTATGCCAAGGCTCTGGATGAGAGTAAATGTGAGGTTTCTGAGCAGGAGGGGGGTATTGAATCTAGCAGGAGGGGATATTGAAGCTAGCACTTTTGGCCTCAGCCAAGTAACCTTCCTAGCCAGGGAAATTATCTTGATTAACCAAGATTTAAACTGAACTTTATAAAGCCTGGGAAATTATCTTAAATAACCAAGATTTAAACATAACTTGCTGCCAGATGCACGTTCCAGGTCCTCCTCTCTCTGGGACTGTCGCTCCACAGGTGGTTTCCCTAAACAGGTCCTTTTCTTAGAAATATCCCTCCTGCTTTTCAAAGCCACATTCAAGTGTGATACAGCCTCAGCCAGGGAAATTATCTCGATTAACCAAGATTTAAACTGAATCGACACAACTTGCTGCCAGATACACGTTCCAGCTTCTCCTGTCTCTGGGGCTGGCACTCCATAGGTGGTTTCCCCAAACAGGTCATTCTCCTAGAAGGAGATTGATTTTCAAAGCCACATTCAGGTGTGATTTTCATTCTTGATTCTCAAAGCCACTTTCAGGTGTGATACAGCCTCAGCCAGGGAAATTATCTCGATTAACCAAGATTTAAACTGAATCTACACAACTTGCTGCCAGATACACGTTCCAGCTTCTCCTCTCTCTGGGACTGTCACTCCCCAAGTCATTCCCCCAAACAGCTCCTTTTCCTAGAACTATCCCTCTTGATTTTCAAAGCCACATTCAGGTGTGAAACAGCCTCAGCTGCCCTCAGCTGAGTCCCACACACATTCCCAGCCTCAAGTGATTGCTCCTTCCCAGCCTCCTGGGCAGGGAGCTGAGCAGCCTCTCATCCTGGATTTTGCACAAACACCAGCACCAAGGGATTTCCTTGTGTTAGAAAATTCCCTATTCACCAGTGCTCTTTGCTGTTCAAACCAGGCAGCTGGACCCAGGCATGGAAATTCCTCCAGCTCTGAGATTCAAGTGCACTTCAAGCAGCTTTGAGATTCAAAGCAGGTTTTTTTTTTCCCACCTGTGTCTCTTTTTGTGTGTGTGTGTGTGTTTAACTGCAGTGTAAATGGTTTAATGAGTGCCATGCAATCTCAGAAAACACTATTGAATCCTGGCTGGGTGCCACAGAGCCATTTATCTGAAATCAAAAGGTCATCTTTTTCAGATCAACGGAAACAGAGATGGATTCACTTCACATTGCTGCCTAATTGTACCAGATGCACTTTGGAAATTCAATTTATGCTCTCCCCTTCAATCATGCTGGGGACAGTCACCTACCAAGCAAGCAGTGAGGAGCAAGGCAGCCAAGTCCTGTGTCATTTGGATGAAGTACAGGCTTTTCTCCTCTGTTATTTACATAAATGTATGGAAGCAGAACTGCAGCTTAGCAACCAAAGGTCACTTGCCAGCCTGCCTCTGGATCTGCTGTGGCTGCAGGAGGGGGCATCTCCCAGGAGATTGATGCTGAGGGACAACATTAGCTCAGCCATAACCCCCTTCCTCTCCCTCCTTCCATCTGGAAGGGATGGGTTCTTCCAGAGGGTGTGTGTGGTGGAGCCAGGGAACAGCACCCTGCATTTGTCTCAGGTATCAGAAGGTGGAGACAAATCTATGAAATGACAGAGGAGGCCCCTGGGAAAGTCTGTTCCAAAGGCAGCCTGGCAGTTTCCATCACACAGCCCTGGTTTTGGGGTCCTTCAGCTTTGGTAGGCTTTACTTGCTCAGGTGGGTGTTTTCCATCCTGATTGCCTCTCCAAGGTCTTAACTGGGATTTGTGCTGATCCAGCATCTGACAAGTATTTAACACCATTGCTGGGTGTTCCTTTTGCCTTGGAGGGGAGGAGGCTGAGGGGGATGTGGGCAAGGTTTACAAAATCCCAAAGGCAGGGGGCAAGGTGAAGGTTTTCACCAGAGCCCACAGTAATAAATGGGAGAAAGAACTCACTTCTTCACCCAAACAGAAGGGAGCTTCTGCAATCTGCCAGCACAGGGGGTGTGGAGACAGACAGCTTCAGAGGGCTCAAGAAGGGACAAGGCAATTCCCAGCCAGGATTCCCATCAGCAGACACTGTGGGGAGCAGGCAGGGGTGTCAATAATCCCATTTCTGCAGCTGCTGGGGGCACACAAGGGACACAAACTGCAGGGCAGCCAGAGCCACCTGCCCCTGGGTGCAGTCCCACAGGACATTCTGGCACCTTCCCAGCCCAGGCTGATGCTGCAGTGCTGCCCACATGTGACACCCATGTCCCCTGGCTTTCCTGTGACAGCCGAGCACAGGGTGCTCTGGTCACAGCCAGCATGGGAACATCTGCATGCCAGCTCTGCAAGGTCCCAGCCCTGCTGAGGGACACCTATAATGAGCCTTTTTTTACTTTTTAGTTGTTTTTCTGAAAATGTTTTTCCTGAAAATTTCTGAAAAACCTTCTTCAGAAGTTGTACACACAAGGCACGCTGATTAAAGCCTGGCTTTGCATTGCAAATCAAGTGCTCTCAAGAAACTCCACCATTAAAGTTGTCTTGAGCCTTCTTGTTTCAAGGTATTTTTGTACATGTGTGCTTAAAAACCAGTCTTCATCATGTGCTGATGCACTCTTTCCCTCCCTAGCTGGGACCAGGCAGGGTTAGATGGCAGATGAGGAGCTCTCTGGTTTCATCTTAGGCTGGAAAGTGGGCAGCAAGCCAGCCACCAGGAGAAATACCCATAGCATCCATTCAGGCAGCTGGAAACAAGCCTGGAGAGCTGGGTCCTGTCTCTACCTAAGAGACAAGATGCTGGGGGAAGTTTTTTATGATGAAACAACCTTCAGGGTTTCACAGGTCCATGAGCTTGACCTGCAGCCCTGTGCTCCAACCACACAAGTTGTTAAAAGCAGCACTAAGCACCATGAAAATCAGAATAAATCCATGAAAAAATTAAAACTGCTCCCAAGGTGTGTGAAGGCAGGTCTGAAACCAACAGAGAATGGTTTGATCTCAGTTTCTCTGCAGCTCAGTTGCCCATCTGTGAACGACACACCCACAGCCTTTGTGAAGGCTGTGAAATTGTGACATTTGTGAAATTGCTGCCTGTGGGTCCACCAGGATTCACCTCCAGAGGTGATAAATAATTCTGTACTCAGTGAGAGGCTGAGCAGGGCACTGAATGTGCAGGTCAGGATGGCACATTCTGGGGAGCTCCTCCATCACCCCTGGGCACTGGGAAATGTGGTCCTTGGGGCACTGCAGAGCTGGATCAGGTAATTAAAATGGTTCACTGATCTGCATGCATGGGCAAAAAGAGAGTTTTTTTTTTTAAATTTAATTCTACCTTAAGAATTAATCTCAGCACGTCCTAACTTTTAGATATTTAACTTTCCAGCTGTTATTTAAAAATGTCAAAGTCATTTGTGTGCACACCTGTAACAGTATCCTGATGGACAGACACACAACTAGTGTGAGAACTACCAGAGCAACTTGACCAGAGTAAAGAAATGATAAAAGCTGGGCTTGCCATATCCCAGGCAGGGGCAAATGTTTCCTTCTAGGAAGAGAAGGTGAGGAGTGGCCAGGAGCAGGCTCCTGGGAAAGGTCATGGAGACCTTTCCAGCCCTGGCAGGGTGGGGAGCACGCCAGCATGGATAATGTCATGAAGAAAATAACAGCAGTTCAGCAGTGTGCTGTGCAGTAATTTCTGCAGTTCCAGTTTCTCTTCTCATCATTTATTTAAGACTGTGTCTAGACAGTGCATTACCATTCACAGAATTTATGACTAATGCCCTGAAAAAGCAAAGATACCAGAATAATGTAAACATGGAAATCACCTAGAAGCCATACAAATCCTTAAATGGTTTTAAATATTCCCAAATTAATTTTTACAGGAAAAAGTGTCAGGGTGACCACAGCATTTCATGGACAAACCTGCCCAGAGTGCCCATCAACAACATGGCAAGGGCAGGGTGGAAATTCTGCAGCTGAGCTTTACAAGAGATTTACAGATTTGTTCATGTTGGATGAAACAGAATCATCAACAGCTCTCAAGCCTAAAATATCCCTAGAGATGCTTTTAAGAGACAGAATTATAGTGGGAAAGAAATATTTCAAGCGTTACCGGGATGCTTTTTTTTCCACACAAGAAGACGGTCTTGACTTTCAGAGGTTCAGAAACACCTGAATTTCTTGTGCAAACAGTGACAACCATGGTGGCTTTTCCACATGTAGCTGGCATAGCTCTTTCCTTGTACTACAGAATTAAAAAGCCATTTTCTCTGCTTGCCTCTCAGTCTTGCCATGGGATACTTACAGGCAAACATGTATGCACATGTCTGTATATCCAAAAGACTTCACTGAAGTAACTTTTCAACCAGAATTAGATGTACTGGATGGAACTGATGCTTGGAAAATAGAGATGATCAGCAGCAGGTCCTTTGCCTGTCTGACAAATCTGCTTGGGCACACAGTAATCTGCAGCTCAAATTCTGCTTTGCTGGGACTCCACAACAGCCAAACAACAGCAGGATACAGTAAATTAGGAATTATGCTTTAATTTCTCTTCTCTAGCAAGAAAATATTTTTAGGTACAAATAAAACATATAGACCATTTTTGTGTCCCCATCCTGTTAAAATCCTGCTAGACACACAATATTCTACCTGTGACTGTGGAGAAAAGGCCTGTGGGGGAAAAATAATGTTTGGAAATTCTTTTTCCAATGCTCTGAAGCAACTTAAATGTGGGATGAGCACATTGTTCTTGACAGATCCCATGACAGGACATGTGGCTCATCCCCCCTCGTAGCACGTTACATGAGCCTCTGCAGGAGCAGGTTTGGGGACATTCCCACAGATCTGAGTCACCCAAGTCTTATGACCCAAAACAAGGGCCAGGGCTGCCACAGGACCTTTCCTTTCAATCTGCTGTTCCTGTGTGGGGTTATGTTAACACCCAGGTCCATACTGAAAAGTGGAAATAGGGAAAATGCAAAAAAGAAGAGACAAAACTACGTCCTGCGGAACTTTTCTGGATGACAGAAAAGTTCAGTGCTGGTTTAGATAATTCAAGAGGCCTGTTCAGCTTAGAAGCATCTAAATTTATCCATTGGAAAAAGAAAGTTCCTTTTCCCCAAGGAATCCCCTCCATCTATGGCTCAAGTTCTGATAAAACTGGGAATTTCTTATTGACAGCTGGTAACCCTTATATAGGAAGGGGAAAAAACTTCCATCTTGAGACAAAGGTGATAAAGTCCTCCTGAATAGACTCTTATTAACACTCAGATGTTGTATCAGATCCACCAAAAAGTTCACCAGTCCTCAGACCTCCCACACAGGTAACAAAGGAAGTCCTCAGAAAATGGCTCCTAGTGTAGTTTTGGTTGGAAAGCTTCTGCTATCACATTGCCCTGAGGTCACAGGTTGTTTTAAATGGGAACCAAAACTGGGTTTGCATTCTGGGAACAGACCCTGCTCCACATCAAAGGAGATGTTATCTATCCCAAGTGCATCCTGAATTCCTTTTGAGGAGAAAGCTCCTGGTGTAAATGCAGGCAGGCTCAGTGAATTGCAGGCACCAGACAGTGAATTATTGCTCTTGGCCAGGGATTTTGGCCTGAACCTGGACAGGTAATGAGCCCTTGGAGGGCTAATGAGCAGGTGCCTTCCTCAGGCTCTCTGGAAGTTTAGTGAATTTGTGACTAGAGGTGGCAAAGAGCAAGAATCAGGAGCTTTAATCTGCTATGTTTACTCCTTGCCATGTTGGACAAAGTTCACTGTTCATGATTTTACACTCATTTATTTCAGTGAATAGGAACCTATGGCCCAGGACTGAATTAAGCCTTTACACACCTCAGCTGAAGTGAATCTTCTTCCATAAGAAGTATTTATTTCCTCTCTTAATCTGGCTAAAACTTACCTAGAGAGCAGTAGAGTCCAACTTGTTCATATCCTTCACAACAATCTGTGACAGTGATGGTTTCAGGGACTTCAATGTGGAACTCTGTTCTGTGGTGTGTCTGGGGACACACCATCCACGGGATCCACCCTCCACAGGATGTCTTCTTCTCATAGGACTTTTGGTAGGCAACCATTTTAAGCACACTTTTGGTCAGGGTGTAGTTGCACAGGTGGTACCCTAGCAAAGAGAGGCCTTTTTCTAGGAATCAGAAACAGGGAAGAAAAGGATCAGCATTAACTTGTCACCTTGATGGGTTTTGGTTTCCTTTTTCTACCTCTGTCGAGGCTGGGATTGAAGGCACTTGAGATGATACTTCATGTTCAGACCCAAGAGTTTATTGTTTATTATCAATGTTACAGCTCCACAGCTGTGAGTTCTGCAGCATTTCACTAGCAAGGCTCAAAATGGTTAACTATCTCAAAATGGTTAACTATCTCTTGTTACAAGGGATTTTAAGGCTAAACTATCCAATTAAGAAATGACACCTAAATTATTTTCATGTTTAACCCAATAACTGATCCTTTGAACCCCACAATGCAGACTTTTCTGTCCAATTACAGAACATCACCCAGATCCATGAAGAAGAAGGAGGAAGAAGGTAAAGCAGAACAACCTGCCTCCACCCTAAAACCTCTATCTTGTTTCAGATTTATTTCTATATTCTAAAATGCCAAACTCTAAGTTTCCTACCCTGTGATATTACACACTTCTAACCAACTCCACACCCACAATCCCAGTGCTGTTAATCAATTTTGGAAGCCTGTTCCAGGCCTTCCAGGTCAAATGCGTTGCTCTCCAGGGACTCAGAGTCTGTCTGTGCAGAAAGTCTAAAATTCTCAGCATCCAGAACTCCAACATCACCCCAGAGTGATGTTGACAGAGCAGTGACAGAACCAACACAGATGAATGATTCCCAGGAAGGCTGATGTTGGGAAGAACATCTCTTCAAAAAACAGACACAAAAAAGAATTGGTAGTGACTGCTTGTCATGGGTATCACTTTGGTCATGAAAGGATGAAGATTGGCAGAAAATTCAAAGAGTTCTTGGTGCCTTCAGGAGTGAGGCAGAAAAAGGGCAATTTAACTCAAGTTAATATTAAAGAAATTTACATATGTTAATATAAATGACGAGTACAGCACAATAGGCACTTCCAGGGCAGAGTCATCCAAGTAGTTTAAAAGCCCACTCCAGCCTCCTGCTGCCAAAACCTTCATCACTCCCCACTGACTGTAAAGGGAACAAAGGGTGAGGAACTCATGGGCAGATGAGTCACAGAGATGTCTGGAATAAGACATCCTTCAGACATCACCCTAGGCTAAAACTGGGTACTCATACATCACTGGGAAGCACTTCCAGGTGTCTGACACAAAAGGTATTCCTGGAGATCCTGCACTGCCTCTCTGCATTTGTAGCAGACCTTGTTGATCAGCCACTGGAAACCTGCAGTGCTTCATTGACAAACAAAGTCAGTGATAAGGTCATTAACTGCATCATTTCACACAGGTCTGGGGATGGGACTCAGCCTCCAGAGTTCTGAAACCAATTCTGATGAGGAGTGAACTTGTTAGGTGCTGTGGAAACCCAGGGCACTGGGAATATTTCTCTGTCTGCTCTGGGGTGCCCTGACCCCCAGGGATGCACTGACTCTGACCCTCATTCATGGAGAAAGTTTCCCAGACTTCAAGATAGACTGGAATCCACAAAAGTGTGAAATAGATTATAGAGAGCAGTGTAGGTGCATCACTTGGTGAGAAATTGAGGTTTTGGGGTTTTTAGTGTGTTGTGGATGGAAGCAAGATGGAGGGCACAGGGTGTGGTCCTGGGTTTCTTCTTCATGCTTCTTCTTCCTTCTTCCCCATGGGTTTGGGTGGCATTTTGTAATTGGGCAGAAAAGTCCCCATTGCAGCTCTTTGGGATCAGTTATTGGGTTAAAAGGGAAAATAATCCAGGTGTCAGTTCTTCATTGGAGAGTTTAGTCTTAAAAGTCCTTGTACCAAGAGATTGTTGCCATTTTGTGCCTTCTGATGAAAAGCTGCAGAACTCACAGCAGTGAGACTGTTTTACTGATAAGAAATAATAAACACCTGAGTCTGAACATGAAACACCATCTCAAGTGCCTTCAATCCAGACCCAGAGAAACCCACAACTGGAACTGCCACAAGGTGCTTTGCTTAAAACTGAAATACTTCAGCAGGGATAGGGGAAAAACCCCAACACCAAACAGCAGAAAGAAACCCCAACAACAGCAACAAAAGCAGATGGAGTTTAAGAATTAGCAGTAAGAAACCTACAGTCATGTCACAGCCATCAGGCTGGCTCCTAATGAGATGTTATAGAAGCCAGAGGGGCTGAGTCACCCCGTGTCCCACTTGGGAAATAGATCAGATGGAATTAAAATGCCTGCATCATCCTCCAGCCAAAGCAGAAGAAACTTTAATAAGGATAAATATGAATTAGCTGCAGAGATTCAAATATAGCAGGACTGTTTTCTTTTTTTCTGAGAGCTCTGAGGGCACCAGGGTCAGCCAACAGACAGACTGAAGCTAACACAATATACACAACGGGCAGACAATTAAAACATTTACAGTTCATGGTATTTGTACAACTTATCTCCTGTCTGAAAACATGAAATGTGTTAAAAACAATTCAAGAAGGAAAAAAAATTGTTAGGCTTTTAGGAATCCCATGCTTTTATCACAGCGAAACAAAAGGCATTTGTGCAATTTGAGCAGGACTAGGAAAAGAGCTTTGGAGAGGAGGATCCATTTGCAGTGCAGGGACGGTCCAGAAGAAAACATGGAATAGACTTTGGTGTCTAGAAATGGCCTCTGGCAGCCCAGCCCTGCTCTGCCTCCCTCCTCTGTGCCTTCCTCCTGCAGCCAAAGGCAGAGCTGATGCTGGATTGTGCTCCAGGGAGAGCCAGAGAGCTCCCACAGGCTCCAGGGGCTCTGTGCTGCTGCTTGGAGCAGGTCAGCAGGAAAATACTGAGAGTGGAAACCTCATCCCTGCTTCTTCCTCCCCGCCAGCCTCCAGCAGGACCCCCCTGTGTCTGCTCCCTGGGGCTCTGGGGACACTGCTGGGGTCTGCACAGCCCTGAGAGGCACCAGGCTGCTCTCTGTCCCTGAGCAGGGAGGGAGGAAGGTGCTCAGGAGGGACAGAGGACACCCAGGCTGGCTCAAAGCCTGGCTTAAGCCCCTGTCTGAGCCAGGAGAGGAGCCCAAAGGCTGGGATGGAGCTCTGACCAGGACGTGGCTGTGCAGGATGAAATGGAAGGAGAAGAGAGCCAGAGAAAGCAAGGGGACCTCTGCCTCTGGCTAACTTTAGGATAACTCACTGGGAGAATGGGAAAGGACAGCAAATGTGGGTTCTGGAGCAGGAATCAGAGCTCAAGGGCTGCCTTTTATTCAATGTGTTTGATCCAGTAGCACCTCACATGAGGCACAAGTGCCTGACAAGAAGCAGGCAGCTGTCACTGCATTTTGGAAAGCATTGCCTTGCCATGTGTTAACACTGCTCCAAGAATACCTTTCTCTGCAAATGCTCCTAGGCATGTAGGTGTGGGGGGGAAAAAAAGTCTTGCTCCAACTTTTTAATTTGTTTTTTGGGGTTTTTTTAAAATTTGTTTGTAACCTGGATGGCTAAATAACCAGAGTGGAGCAGAATTAATGCCTAAATAATTTTGGTTATAGCCTTTCCCTGGAGAAAGGGCACAAACATCTGTTGTAACCAGGGAAGGAGGCAGGAGCAGGACAAGTACTGTTCTATGAAAATGAGAAAGAGGAACTCCTACATTAAGGAATCAGACTGTTATAGTATAAAATCAGGTTTGAGGGGAGTAGGGCAGGTGAAAAGCAAGAGCTCAGCCTTGTTCCTCATGCCCATGATCCCTCCTTTTCTCCAGAGCTCATGTAAAGCCTGGCAAGAGCAAAGCAGGGACTGGAAGGGAAAAACTGAGTAAGGAGAGCACTGAGGATTCGTGCTGTCCGTGCAGAGCTGAGGCTGCAGCACTGGAAAGCTAAAAATTCCAGTGTCAGCTGAGCTGGCTTAGTCTCTACAGCAATGTGCAACATAAATACAGGTATGAAACTGAGAATAAGATGGTGTAGAATTAGACACAGTTTATAATTGGAAGCTACAGCTGTCAGAGCAGATATGAAGTCATAATTCATACTTAAACATTGATACTAGGTATATATATATATATACATATATATATATATATATATACACACACACACAGAGTAGGTATAGAATGAGGCTGCCAAAGCCTAAATAGGAGCTCTGAGATGAGGCTGTGGTGGTACAAAAAGATGCCCTCAGTGCAAGAAGTTGGACTGGAGGTGTCAGGGAAAGGTGCAGCACCACCAGCCCCTGCCCCATCCATCACTTCCAGACCATTCAAAACAAGCTTTGGCACTCACAGAGTTCAATTCTTTTGCTGACAGCAGTTTGCTGCTGAGCAATGTGGCTTGGATCAATTTGGGCTCTTTAGCAAATTGGCTTTCTGTTCTCATTACTCCCATCTATGGGATTATGGCACAGTCAAATGGAATTGAAATGCACTGGCTGCTGTTTTCAGTGACTCAAAGCTGAAGGCAATGGCACAGCAGAAGGCAGTCACCTGCCATTATTATGGATGTGTTACACCTATCATTTCTGCATTTTAGAATTTTGTCTCAGAAACCACCAGCTTTCAGCACCATCAGGGAAAACATCAATTTTGTTTTTATGTAAAGCAAGAGCATAAACAACTAAAGCAAACCCTTTGTTAATAGGAACAAACACTGAGAGGAAAGCAAAGGCTGCACAGGAATGGGCTCCTTGGAACTCAAGGTTAAACCCAGATCAGAACTGAGAGCACGACCAAAAAACAGCAATAAAAAAATGCTTCATAGCATTGATGCCACAGACAGAGCTGCAATTCTGGAAACTTCACCACCCAGGTGCCACAGGAGCCACTGTGAGCTGGGATCTGCCAAATCTTTTCTCACTGGAGAGCAGTCAGACTGCAAGACAAGCCCCTTTCTTGTCTTGGCATAACCTCAGAAATAAACTGTTGGAACAGGTTCATGGAGGGCAGATTCAAGCTCAAGTTTTGAAATGCAAATGCTCCAAAACATGAATGAAAAAAGGATCATGGACTTGATTTTTCTACAAATTCCAAATTTCAAAGTCAACACCATTTACTTTAAATGGCACTGGGGTGGGAATTCTATTGGTCCTAATGTCTGCAAATCTCTTTTCAGCTGTGGCTTTGAACAGAATAACAGAAAAGCCTGCAAGGTTCTAAGAAATATGGTTTATATTTAACTGAGACTCACAAAACCACATAAGTAAAGAAAAGCAATGAAGAGCAGTCAAAAATCATATTTTCTCATTTAAATGAATCAAACCAGAAATTAGGAATAAATTAGGGGTTCATTTAGCAGTTACATTTGGGTTAGGGTTTTTCAAAATTACAGCCCATACCACAGATGAAATTTAAGCATGTCTTCTACAGCTTCCTCTCATCCATCCCCAGGAATCTGCCAGGCACATTTCCTGCTAATGCTTATTTTAAAGACAAGTTTCATAAAAATTTGCACAATACTGAAGACAAAGCAGAAATTCTCCTTGTTCATTTCTGGCACAAAGGAAATGACAAGGATTTTTGCCTGGGGATGAAAGGTTGGGGACAAAGGTTGCATTTTTTGCTTGGTTAGATTTTCTCTGTTCAATTATCAACAGAGGATTCTCAAATGATCACTGGGACATTGCCAGAGAGAGAGAGAGTGGCCACCTTGGCTGGTTTATTTCAAAGAAATATCTATGCAACACCCAAACTAAGCAGTCCTGTGGCCAGGTCTGCATCACTCACCTGTAGTTTCAGCTCCCCTTCCCTGCTGTGTGGCTGCCCAGAGGATGAGAACAGAAATAAAGGTGATCCTGGCCATTGCAGGGCCAATCCTAGATAAACCTTCCTTATCTCTTTGTTTCCAAGGTGGCAGAGCTTGGCTGTCCTCACTGGTAGTCTTTTGGATTAGGGGAAAAGGTGCTCTGGGTTTTTTCCTTTTGCAGGGAGGTGATAACTGCTGGCAACAGAAACAAATATCTCCACTGGGAATTTTGCTGGTTCTCTCTCCTCTGTGTTCCCTCCAGGGAATTTTCCTCTTCTGCCTGTTCTACTTGGCTCCCCCCCAGCCTGACTTTGAGAAAAATGGCATTTTAAATTTCTGGTTTGGTCCTGTTCATCCTTCAGAGCATTTATTCCCTCTCACCCCTTAAACACTCAACATCTGGGAGCCAGACTGACACACCTCAAAAACCAGGTAATGTCACAGACATCTTTTATGGAAAATCCTTTCCTTAAGATTTTTCATCCTGAGAAGCTGAGAGGCCTCAGGAACAAAATGTAACCAATGGTTATCTGCTGCTGTGGAATGCAACAGGTGCATCTGGGATTGGTCTCATGTGGTTGTTTCTAATTAATGGCCAATCACAGCCCAGCTGGCTCAGACAGAGAGTCCGAGCCACAAACCTTTGTTATCATTCCTTCTTTTTCTATTCTTAGCCAGCCTTCTGATGAAATCCTTTCTTCTACTCTTTTAGTATAGTTTTAATGTAATATATATCATAAAATAATAAATCAAGCCTTCTGAAACATGGAGTCAGATCCTCATCTCTTCCCTCATCCTGGAACCCCTGTGAACATGGTCACAAGGTATAAACATCCTGAATTCAGTTCCTGTCCACACATCAAGTGGTATTACTCTGAAGGACTTTGTTTCTGTATTTTGAAAGCAAACTAAGAGTAAAAGCAAATCTCTCTGTGCATGTTTATTCCTGAGTTTAAGCTGTTTGTCACTGTGCTCCTCATTTCGCTGCAATTCCAGCATCCCCTAAGACAGAGCAATGCCAGGCAATCAAGAGCCTTGTTAAGCAGGGCATGAATCAGGTCTGAAAAACCAAAAATCCCTTTTTTTTTTTCATTGTCTAAATAATCAAGGCACATTCCCAAGATAGATGTGCCTCCAGCTTTGCAGCACATGACAATAACTTCAGTGCAATGTCACTTGGCTCAGGCAGAGACAAGGAGTGAACACAGGATGATATTTTATGAGGAGCTGACACTAAAGGATGGAAAAATCACAGGTACAGCTCTTGGAGCTGAGGCAATATGTTCAGAAAAACACTTCAATACGTTTCACAGTGTTGCAGACAATTTCATGTGAGTGAAAGGGACCTGGAACCACAGACCCTCTCATTTGTGAATATTCAGGCAGCAGAGATGGGGCCTGGAGCAGCATTGAGGCACTTGTGAGCTGTTGTTCTGGCTTGGAAAATCAAATATCAAGCTTATCATGGGGAAAAGAAAATGAAAAGCAAGAAAAACAATGGAAAATTAAAGCTTTCCCAGGAGAAAGGAAAAAAAAAAATCAGTATTGTAGAGTGCTTCAATAAAAAAAAATTTAAAAGAAAAAAAGAATCAATGTAGAAACATTTCTGCTCTAAGGAGAATGTGCACCTTAGCACCAGGATGTCCTGCCAGGCTGTATCCAAGATGCACCACTCACATCTCCTGCCAGGAAGGCAGCAAGAAGCCTCTGGCTGTAGGCTGGGCAGGGGATGCCATCTGACTTAAAAACCAGACTAACAAATAAATAATCACAAGAAAGAGGACCTAAACCAGTGAAATTCAATGGTCAAATATAAATATTTCTCTTCATGATCTGTATTTTTTTTTAACTATCTAAATTTTCAGGAAAAATACCTTGGTTAATTTTTTTGGCTAGCACTGACAAAAACCAGATCTTTAGCCTTAGAAACCCTTAGAAATTACTTGGTCCCTCCCATAAAGAATTATGTCTTGTCCAATTTCAGATATAGGTAATGCCAGACTGACATGGGAATTGGATTGCATCTGAGTTGGACCTCCATGGCAGTAGTGAGTCAATGGCTCCTAAGTACAGAATGTGCAGAACCTCCTTTTCAAATAAAAATTTGAGAAAAGTCAGTGAACAGTTAATCCAAACAAGAAATGGCTACAGAAATCATGAGTATTTCAGGATTTACCTGGCAATTTGCAAATTCTTTGAGGTTCTGCTTTATATCAGCATTATTTCTTCAGTTACCATCAGTTAGGCTCACAGCAATTTACTTTTTAACAATCCAGACACTGGAAAAGACCACTCAGGCAATTAAGGATGCAAACTGTGTCCTGTCCAGCCCTTTTCACATCTTCCAGCCCCATTCTTGTCCTGAATTAATTGCAGCAAGTTTAGGGTTATGTCCTGCATCCCCTGCAGCAGCACGTGCTCTTTGCAATCAGTTGCACTTGCTCAGCACAAGCCAACAGAGGAATCTACAGATTCATCAATATTTTGGATAACTGAACATCTGTACATGCGTGGGTGACTGCACATTACTCCATTTTTAGTTACCATCTTTGTATTTCTCAGATGAATTTTTGGTCTTTTCTCCCTTATCCCTTTTAAGTAAGTGTTGGCTGTTTCCCAGGGAACAAGTGGCAGAACAAGAAATGGCCTCAGGCTGCTCCAGGGGAAGTCCAGGTTGGACATCAGGAGGAATTTCTTCACTGAAGGAGTTGTCAGCATTGGCAGGGGCTGCCCAGGAGGTTTGGAGTGCCCATCCCTGGAGTGCCCAAGGAAGGCCTGGATGTGGCACTCAGAGCTCTGGGCTGGGGACAAGGTGGGGATGGGTCAAAAGTTGGACTTGATGATCTTGGAGGTCTCTTCCAGCCTAAATGATTCTGTGATTGTGTCTCAGGACTCCAGGAGAAGATTTGCCCACTCTCTCTTTGGTGGTGAGGAAGGACAGGAATAGAGAAGGAAAAGGAGATGTTGAGAATCAAAGCCCTGGAAGTGAGCTGGACTCCAGCCTGGAAGGAGCTCATCCCAGTGCTCCTGGCACAGTCATCTGGAGCTGATCATTTCTCCCAGCTCTGCTGTTTATACTTTCTGCAGTTACATTTCTAATGTCTAAACTGATCTAAAATTTGCCATTTGTACAAGGAAGGGCTAAGAGCCACATTGAAATCCATTTGTGGATAATGTTACAGGATCAAGAAGCAGATTTTTAGAGATGGGATTTGACTCTCCTAGACTGTACTGTCAGTAATTGAAATATTGTGGCTGGCAGCAGGCTTTCTCATCATACTTTTTCAGCATTTATTGCTTTAGACAGATTCACTTCTGATTTAATTAGTCACTTAGAAGATCCTGATCTTCTCTAGGCAAGGGGTTTGACACAGAAGGGTCATTGCTGGAACATTTCTTTCTTGCTTTGTATTATTTTGTCTATAAAGCAATCATTATTTCAGATGCAAAAAATGGTCATGACATTTCAGGACAGACTGATATGCACAAGGAGAACAGGGCTATGGGCTCATTGGGAATTTATGCTTGGGGAATATATCACTGGGAATATAACAAAAACTGCTCTGTGCTTCAGGAGCCAGCACCTGGCTGGTCCTACTCCTCTTCCTGTAGATGAATAGGATCTAAAGCTTGAGAACTATTAAATCATTTAACCCAGAATCATGGAATCACAGAATGGCTTGGGCTGGAGGACTCTTAAAGCTCATCCTGCACCAAACCCCTGCCTTGGGCAGAGATACTTTGCACTCTCCCAGGGTGCTCCAAGTCTCATCCAACCTGGCCTTGAACACACCCAGGGATGAGGCATCCACAGCTTCTCTGGGCAATGCGTGCCAGAACCTCACAGTAAAGAATTTCTTCCATAAATCTAATTTAAACCTGCCCTCCTTCAGGCTAAAAACATTGCCCTTTTCCCCCTCACTATTTGGCCATATAAAAAAAATATCTCCTTCCTTTTTATAAGCCCCCTTTTGTCACTGAGAAATGCTCCAAGTTCTCCCCAAAGCCATTTTCCTCCAGGATGAACAACCCCAGCTCTCTCAGGCTGGCTTCACAGCAGAGGTGTTCCAGCCTTCTGATCATCTTTGTGGGCTCCTCTGGGTACACCCTGAAAGCTTCACATCCTTCTTGTCTGGTGGATCCCAGAGCTGGATGCAGAATTCCAGGTGGGGTCTCACGAGGGCAGAGAAGAGGGGCAGAACCACCTCCTTCACCTTCTGGCCACTCAAAAACCTCTCAAAATCAGCTGCCAGTAAATACTCAGAGACCTCACCAGGCTCACACAGTTTCAGCCTGATTACAGCCTGTCAGTCTGAGGAAGTCCAGGCTGTGGCCACTGTGGGAATGGATGGAGACCATTCACCAGTCCTGAAGATCTCACGGTGGAAATGAACAAATCCAGGACAGGAAGGCAAAGGCAAAACCACTCAGCCAACGAAGGTGACAAGAAGTTCAGATGAGACCTGATTTCCACCTGATTTCTGCACCATGACTGCATTTTCTGGTGCCCAGTGAATTTTGTCTCACCATCAGGGCAGTCTTAAAACTGCTCCTGCTGTGGCATTTCAGATGTTTAGCAAGGGTTGAGCTCAAGCCAGTCTTTCCCTGAGTAGGGCAGTACTAAGGTTTTTTCCCTATTTTATATTCCTAAACTTCACCAAAACCACAGAAACTTAAATGTCTTTGAGTTTGCAGCTGATCTATCAAAACTGGCTTAAATCAATCAGCAAGGCCAGTGGGTCCTCAAAAGAGAGGAACAAGCTGACTTAGCCAGAAGTAAATTTTTTTCAGCCAAATACAAAAACCAAATCATTCCTGCCATCAGGATACAAACTTATTCCTGCTTCTGAAAATGAATACATACAATGAACACCTTACTGTTGACTCCCTGCAGAGAAAAGAATTTCTCAGGAACCACTCAGCTCTCAGAGTTAAAACACTTGGCTGTGATTTCAGGGACTTGAATTCACTGCCACAGAGCTCTTGGGCTGTGAGTCACACAGGTCAAATCTGCCTCTGCAAGGAAGCCATGGAGATGGGAGGGGGCAGAAACCCCA